CCTGTCTGTACAAAAAATATGAAAATTAGACAGGAATAGTGACACATGCCTGTAGTTCTAGCTACTCAGAAGGCTGAGGTGGGAGGATAGCTTGAGCCTTGGAGGCGGAGGTTGCAGTGAGCTTTGATTGTAGCACTGTACTCCAGCCTGGGCAATACAGTGAGACCCTGTCTCAAAAAAAGCAGCAACAAAAAATTAATGTTTTTTTTTTTTTTGGTCACAGAGTCTTGCTCTTTCACCCAGACTGGTGTACAGTGGCACTATCTCGGCTCACTGCAATTTCTGCCTTTTGGGTTCAAGTGATTCTTGTTCCTTGGTCTCCTGAGTAACAGAGATTACAGGCACCCACCACCGCAGCTGGCTAATTTTTTTTTTTTTTGAGACAGAGTCTCACTCTGGTGCCAGACTGGAGTGCAGTGGCACGATATCGGCTCACTGCAACCTCCGTCTCCCGGGTTCAAGCAATTCTCCTGCCTCAGTCTCCCAAATAGCTGGGACTACAGGCCCACGCCACCACGCCCAGCTAATTTTTGTATTTTTAGTAGAGACTGGATTTCACCATGTGGGCCAGGATGGTCTCGGTCTCTTGACCTCGTGATTCACCTGCCTCGGCCTCCCGAAGTGCTAGGATTAGAGGCGTGAACCACGGTGCCGGCCTAATTTTTTTTTTTTTTTTTTTTTTTTTTTGAGATGGAGTTTCACTCTCATTACCCAGGCTAGAGTGCAATAGCACGATCTTGGCTCACCCCAACCTCTGCCTCTTGGGTTCAGGCAATTCTCCTGCCTCAGCCTCCTGAGTAGCTGGGTTTACAGGCACCATGCCCAGCTAATTTTTTTGTATTTTTAGTAGAGACGGGGTTTCACCATGTTGACCAGGATGGTCTCGATCTCGACTTCGTGATCCACCCGCCTCGGCGTCCCAAAGTGCTGGGATTACAGGCTTGAGCCACCGTGCCTGGCTATTTTTTTTTTTTAAAGTAGAGACAGGGTTTCTTTTTCTTGACCAGGCTGGTCTTGAACTTCTGGCCTCAAGTGATCTGCCGTCCTTGGCCTCCCAAAATGTTGGGATTACAGGCATGAGCCACTGCACCTGGCCTAAAAAAACTAAGTTTAAATGCCTAGCATTTAAATGAACGTGTGATAAACATTTTTTGTTTGCTTGTTTTGAGACGGAGTCTTGCCCTGTCGCCCATGCTGGAGTGCAGTGGTGTGATCTCAGCTCGCTGTAACCTCCACATCCCAGGTTCAAGCTGATCCTTCTGCTTCAGCCTCCTGAGTAGCTGGGATTACAGGTGTGTACCACCATATCCTGCTAATTTTTGTATTTTTAGTAGAGATGGGGTTTCACCATGTTGGTGAGGCTGGTCTCGATCTCCTGACCTCGTGATCTGCCCACCTTGGCCTCCCAGTGTGCTGGGATTACATGTATGAGCCACTGTGCCTGGCCTAAACATTTTTGTTATAAAGAAAATAAACATTCCTTAAGAGTGTGTGTTTATGTACACACACACACACACACACACACACACACATTTTGAGAGATAGTTTTGCTCTTGTTGCCCAGACTGGAGTGTAATGGTGTGATCTCAGCTCACTGCAACTTCTGCCTCCCGGGTCCAAGCAATTATCCTGCCTCAGCCTCCCTAGTAGCCAGGATTACAGGCATCCACCACCACACCCAGCTAATTTTTGTATTTTTAATAGAGACAGGGTTTCACCACATTGACTAGGCTGGTCTCAAACTCTTGACCTCATGTGATCTGCCTGTCTTGGTCTCCCAAAGTGCTGGGATTACAGGCGTGAGCCACCATGCCCAGCCTCCTTAAGTAGTTTTAACTATCAGGTTTTCTCTGTTTCATTAAAGTACAGAACATCTGGGAAATCAGTGAAATCCTCACTAAAACGACATAGTTTTTGGTCTCCACTTGTAATCGTTTAATGCTTTATGATGTTTCAACCACATTAAAATATTAAAATAACAATTCCTTGTTCTGCAGAATATATCAGAAAATATTTTTATTAGCATGAATAATATAATTTTTTCAATTCTGAGCGTGACTCATTCTCATAATGATTTAATAATCACCTTTCAATTAAGATTTGATAAGCCAGAGAATTACACTCCAGAAATACTAATATCCATTTTCTAGCTCCTTGGACAGATGTATGTATTCATACATGTATCTATTTCATGGTGTTTATTATTGTGATGTTTTTGCCATTTAAATTGGCAGGAAAAAACCCACATTGAAATGTATTATATTTAACTGCTAGTAAAGTCAAATGTATTTCATTTGCTTCATAGATTTTTATTATGGGATATTGAATATTGTACATAAAAGTGGACAATAACAGTGAATATCTTTGTGCTCACCATTTGGCTTCTATAATTATTAATTTATTGCCACTCTTGCTATATTTAAACCCCTATCCTCTTGTACATTTTTTGAAGTAACTCCCAGACATCACATGATTTCATCCATAAATACTTTAGTGTGCAAATGGTTTTTCATCTGGTTATTATCCAGTTATATTAACCCTTTTGTGTACTATTTCTTGTCCAGGTTCATAGTGTATTTTTGTTCATTTTCAGTACTTTAATACATTTTTAACATATTGACAATAAATTAAAAAAGGTTCGGTTTTCTGTATAGGCCTTAACTTGATGAAGGCAGTAAGTTCAACTTTGGACAACTGAAATTTGAAATGCTTATGGGATATCCAACGATTACAGGTTTTTATAGTTTTTAGTAGACTGCTGCTTGATTCTTCAAAGTGTGAGTGGTGAAAGCTTGGTGCCGATAATGTTATTCAGGGAGATTTTGGTGGAGTGAAAAGTAAAAGGGGTAAGTGGATGTTTATAAAATATTTGAGGGATGGGCATAGAAAAAGACATCTACAAAGAAGACTGAGAATAATGTTTTTGGGAAAAAGAAAAGTTTAGGACTGTGACATCTGTGAAGGGAACAGTTAATAATGTCAGATGTAGCAGAGAGATCAAAGAAGATGATCAACAGAAATATGTGTTGGATTTTGTGGCTGACCAAATGAGAAAATAGTTGCAAACACAGGAGACAGTATGTTATCGTGATGCAAGACTTGGATTTGAATTTTGGCTGCCGCTTATCTTGCTATGTTACGTTTGGAAATATTACTGGTTATTCCATTTTTGTTTTATATAGAAATGTAAGTGTAAACAAGAAAATAAAACATACACAAAATACACATGTATATCTGTTGAGAATCTGTTAGCTATTTGTTTCAAGAATATTCACCAGACATCTTGAAGCATAGTTACAATAGCTGCTTTTGTCTGATAATTCCAACATCTGTGCCACCTTGGGTTTATTGTGTATAGCTTGTCTTTTCTCTTGTGAGTTACTGATTTCCTTACTCTTCATATGTTGAGTTTGAATTGTATATTAGATACATATACATATATATATATATATATATATTTTTTTTTTTTGTTGTTGTTGTTGTTGTTGTTGTTGTTGTTTGTTTGTTTGAGACAGGGTCTTTCTCTGTTGCCCCGACTGGAGTACAGGGGTACAATCTCCGCTTACTGCAACCTTCACCTCCCAGGTTCAAGCTATTCTTGGCCTCAGCCTCTCGAATAGCTAAAATTACAGGCATACACCACCACACCTGGCTAATTTTTTTTTTCCTTTTTTTGAGACAGAGTCTTGGTCTGTTGCCCAGGCTGGAGTGCAGTGGCGTGATCTCGGATCACTGCAATCTCTTTCTCCTGGGTTCAAATAATTCTCCTGCCTCAGGCTTCTGGATAGCTGGAATTACAGGCCCTCACCATCATGCCTGGCTAATTTTTTTTTTTTTGAGACAGAGTCTTGCTTTGTCGCCCCAGGCTGGAGTGCAATGGTGCAATCTCGGCCCACGGCAACCTCCGCCTCTTGGGTTCTTGCAATTCTTCTGCCTCAGCCTCCTGAGTAGCTGGGATTACAGGCGCACATGGCCAGGACCAGCTATTTGTTTTTTTGTGTGTGTGTGTTTTAGAGACGGGGTTTCACCATGTTGCCAAGACTGGTCTTGAACTCCTTTACCCCAAGTCATCTGCCCACTTTGGCCCCCCAAAGTGCTGAGATAACAGACATGAGCCACCGTGCCCAGCTTGTAGGACCCCTTGCAAGGTTCTGCTTTCTTGGAGTTTTAGGTCCCTGTCTAGATGCTGCTGGTGTTACCACAGCTGATCCCATGGAAGTGCCTCAGCAAGGGCAGAGAGAAGGAAAAGCGGGGAGAAACCCAGAGAATTTTCCCTTTCTCTATCCAGTATTTGAAATGTCCTCTTCACTTTGCTTCAGACCAAAACAAGAGATTTTTCTTTTGGAAAACTTTCTGCCTACACTTAGCCTGCAGTTCTGGGTTTGGGGCTACCTTTGAGTCCAGGCTCAGGGGAGATATCAGAGGGAAACAAAATTGGGAAAATCACTGCTGGACTAGTGGTACTTCTAGTTGTGGTTTTCTTCCTAAACCACCTGCTACTATTTCCCAAGTCCTCAAATAGCTGCTCCAGGTATTCTGTCCAGGTTTTTAGTTACATTCAGTGGGAGAGACAGAATGGACTATGCCTACTCTTCACTGGAACCAGAACATAGATATCACTTTAATTTTATTATAATTATATTGCTCACTTGTTTTGGTTAAGGATTTATTGTGTGCCTGTGATTTACTAGGCTTTGCTGTACATTTAGCAGGAAATGGATGATCTAACGTGCCTGCAGTAGGTCACAGATAGTGAAGGGATGTGGGGATGGAGGCAGAAGGTAAACAATTACATATTTATTAGTAGTGAATAATTGGGTTATTAATTTTAGATATTTTAGTCTATTTCTGCTTCAGGATTTGACTCTGTTTATGACTGAGAAAGAAGATCTGATATATATTGTTAATTTTTTTTGATTCTGAAATATAAGGAATGAAAAGTCTGTATATGTATGGTCTGGATATAATTATTAAGGTACAGTTATAAGAAATATAATTACATATAGAATTATAAGAACTTAAAACAATTTTTTATTATGTACTTGTTTCTCGGGTCTTAGAAAAGACTGAAGACAATTTCACATGTTTTACACTTTGCAACTTTGGCTCTATAGTAAACTCTGAAGATTTCATGCCTTGATGCTGTGATTCTGGAGACAAAGTTGAAAATCTGACAGTAGTCAACATTGGTCCTGATGAGAACTTCCTAGTTGGCTCGGGTACCATTGATTTCACATCTTGCCATCCTGAAGTCAACTCCTGATAATATATACCTTGCTGTTTGTCCCCTGGTGTCAGCTCCATAGGTTTTATATATTGAAAACATGGCTTCAGTGCAAAGGCCACAGATTTAATGCATTGTGACCTAAAGCTTGATGTCAAAGAACTTACACTTCGAGGTTGTGGCCATAGAGTTGGCTTCACAGATTTCACATCTCGAGAAAGTGGCTCTGATACAAATAGCATAGATCTTACATTATGCTGCCTGACGTGTGAATGCAACTCCTCAGAATTCATACCTTGAGGATATGGTTCTGGTTTTAACTCCACGGATTTCACACCTTGAGGATATGGTTCTGGTTTTAACTCCACGGATTTCATACCTTGAGGATATGGTTCTGGTTTTAACTCCACGGATTTCATACCTTGAGGATATGGTTCTGGTTTTAACTCCTCAGAATTCATACCTTGAGGATATGGTTCTGGTTTTAACTCCACGGATTTCACACCTTGAGGATATGGTTCTGGTTTTAACTCCACGGATTTCACACCTTGAGGATATGGTTCTGATTTTAACTCCACAGATTTCACACCTTGAGGATATGGTTCTGGTTTTAACTCCACGGATTTCATACCTTGAGGATATGGTTCTGGTTTTAACTCCACAGATTTTGCTTTTTGAAAACATGGCTCTAGTGTAAATACCTCATATTTTAAATCTGGCAGCTCAGAGGCTGAAATCATTTTTGCAGTATTTGCATCATAAAGCAATGGCTGCTTATTTGTGTCCACAGACTTGACATCTTTAAGCAGTGGCTCTGGTAAGAATACCTCAGATTTTGTACCATTTATCTGAGGACCCAAAGTGAATGCAGGTTGCACAGCTTGCTGTGAGCCAAGGTGCTTCCCCCAAAATTGGACTCCTTTAAACTTAGTCCCTGGAGTTAACTCAGAAGATTTCACACCATGCAAGTGTGGTCTGGGATGGAACAGAATAGATTTTGTACCTTGAGATTCTGACCCAGGGTTCAGTTCAGAGGTCTTCATGTCTCGTATCTGTGGCCCTGGATTGAAGTTGATAGAATTTATGCTTTGAAATTCTGACTCTGAATTCAACTCAGAAGAATTCATACCTTGCAGCTTTGGGCCAGCGTTGAACTCCTTTGGTGTTACATCTTGAAATTTTGCCCCTGAAGTCAGTTCACATTTTACATCTTGTAAATGTTGCACAGAGCTGAACATAACAGATTTTATACTTTGAAGCTCTGGCCCTGGATGCAACTCAGATTTCATAACTTGAAATTTTGACCCTGATTTTACACCTTGCAAATGTGGCTCAAGTTTGCACTCCATAGAATTTACACGTCGTAACTTTAGCCCTGGATTCAACTGAGAAGAACTTGCACACTGCACCTGTGGCCCAGGGTTGCATTCCAAAGGTGCTACACGTAGAAACTTTGACCCTGGTGTCAAATCAGATTTTAAATCTTGCAAATGTGGTCTAAGGTTGAACATCAAAGATGTCTTGCTTTGAATTTCTGTTCCTGGGTTCGATTCAGAACACTTCATACCTTGAAGTTTTGAAACTGAAGTTAATTCGGGAGATTTCATACCTTGCAAATATGGCTCTGTGTTGCACCCAATAGAATTTACACACAGAGCTTGTGGCTGTGGCATTAATGCAGAATTCACACCTTGCAAATGTGGCCCTGGGCTGCACCCAATAGAATTTGCACACTGAAGTTTTGGCCCTGGAATAGGTGCAGAGGAATTTACACCTTGCAAGTGCAGCCCAGGATTGCACCCATTAAAATTTACACACGGAAGTGGTGGCTTTGGAGTGAATGCAGAAGAATTCACACCTTGCAAATATGACCCAGGGTTGCACCCATTAGGATTAACACACTGAAGTTTGGGCCCTAGAATGGATGTGGAAGAATTCTCACTTTGTGGATCTGGCCTAGAATTATACTCAATAGAATTTATACCCTGAAATGGTGTCTCTGGAATGGATGCAGAATAATTAATACCTTGCAAGTTTGACCTAGAGTTGAACCCATTAGAACTTACACACTGAAGTTTAGGGCCTGGAATAGATGCAGAAGAATTTACACCTTGCAAACATGGCCCACGGTTGCACCCAATAGAATTTGCACACTGAGGTGGTGGCTCTGGAATGGATGCAGAAGAATTCACATCTTGCAAATGTGGTCCAAGGCAGAACACCTTAGATTTCATACCTTGAAGCTCAGGCCCAGGATTAAACTTGGCAGATTTTATTCCTTGCAACTGTGGCCCAGGGTTGAAATCTAAAGATTGGTTACCTTGAAGCCTTGTTCCAAAGTGCCACTCAGATTTCACACCTTGCAACTGTTCCTGAAGATTGAATTTCATAGATTTTACATCTTGAAGCTTTGTCCCTGTACATAATTCTGAAGGTTTCCTATATTGCAAATGTGGTCCAGGATCGAACCCCGTAGATTTAACACTTTGAAGGTCTGGCCACAGATTCAATTTATGAGATTTCTCATCTTGCTGCTGCTTTTCAGTATTGAACTCAGAAGGTGCCACACTGTGAATCTTTGATCCCAAGGCCAACTCAGAGAGTTGTGCAACTTGCAATTCTGGGTCATGGTTGCCTTCTGTAGAGTTCACTGTCTGAAGCTTTATCAACCCAGAATTTATATCTTGCAACTTTTCCCCAGGATTCAATTCTACAGATTTCACACCTTGATGTTGTATCCCTGGTGTCGACATAAATAATTTTCTATCTTGTAACTGTGAGGTTGAGTTTAACCCCAACGAAGTCCTATCCTGTACCTTTGTACCTAGAGACAATTCAAAAGATTTTACATCTTGCTGCACTGGCCTAGGCATGAGCCCCACAGATTTCGCTGTTTGAAGCTTTGTCACTGGGATCTCTTCAGAAGATTTCGTACCTTGTAATTGTGATTCAGAACTGAACTGCTTAGATTTTACGTCTTGAAGTTCTGTCCCCTTGATTGAATTACAATATTTCACATCTTGCCACTGTGGGCCTGAGTTGAACTCCACAGATTCCCCACCGTGAAGCTTTGTCTCTGGGGTTAACTGAGAAGATGCCACACCTTGTAACTTTGGACCATGGTTGTATTCTACAGATTTTACATCTTGATAGTTTGTTCCTTGAATCAACTCAGAAGATTTTTCACCTTGTATCTGTTGTCCAGAATTGAAATACATTGCTTTCATACTTTGAAGCCTTGTCCCTGAGGTTACCTCAGAAGATTTTATATCTTGAAAGTGTTGTCCAGAACTGAACTTTATACCTGTGATCAGATTGGAAGATTTTATATCTAGTAACTGTGGGCCTGATTCCAGCTCTACAGATTTCACACCTGGAGACTTTCTCCCCAGGGTCAAATCAGATTTCTCACTTTGTAACTTTGGACTAGGTTTGAAGTCTACAGGTTTCACACCCTGAAGCTTCACCCCTGGAATCATTTCAGATGATTTCACACTCTGTAAATGTGGTCCAGAACTGAAATCCATAGACTTAATGTCTTGAAGCTGTATACCTATGATCAACCTAGAAGATTTCAAATCTTGCAACTGTGGACCTGAGTTGGATTCCACTAACTTCACTTCTTGAAGCTTTGTCTTTGATATCGACTCAGAAGATTTCACTCTTTGCAACTGTGGCCCAGGTTTGAAGTCTGTAGATTTGACACCTTGAATCTTGGTCTTCATGGTCAAATCAGAATGTGGGATATTTTTCAACTGTGAGCTGGGGTTTAACTCTATAAATTTCATGTCTTGGGACTTTGTCTTAGGGTTCAACTTAAAAGATTTGACACATTGCCATTGTGGCCCAGAGCTAAACTCCTCAGATTTCGTACCTGGAAGCTTTGTCTGAGCCAACTCGGATGATTTCGTGCTTTTCAAGTGTAGTAAGAAGTTGAGCGCTACGGTTTTATCACTTTGTAATTGTAGCTCTTGGCTTAATACTCCAGATTTCACCCCTGAAAACTGTGACTCTTGTGTAAACACTAGGGACTTCACATCTTGCTGCTGTGTTCTTGGATATGCCTGCAAGGGTTTCACTTTGTGCTGCTGTGGTCTTGGGGTCAACTCAGAAGATTTCACATCTTGCAAATGAAGCCCAGGTTTGAATGCCATAGATTTTATATCACAGAGCTTTGATGTTGAAATTGGGCCACATGACTTCACACTTCTCAACTGTAACCCAGATTTCAAATCAATAGTTTTGAACACTGGCACCTGATGTTTCTGGAGTGATGTCAAAGGTGGTACACTGTGGAGCTTTGGCCTTGGAGTCAACTCAGATGACTTCACATCTCTTAGTTGTATTGAAGTTTTCAGTTCTACAGGTGTGACAGCTTGAGATTGTGAACCACATTTTAGCATAGATTTCATACCTTGGAACTTAGGTACTGGTATCCACTGCACAGATTTCACACTTCCAAGCTGTGAGTCTTGGTTTAACTCCACAGTTTTTACCCCCTGAAGCTGTGGCTCTGAGGTTGATGCCAGAATTTTCCCTTTCGGCAACTGTGGTCCTTGGGACAACTTAGGAGTTTTCACAAATTGCAACCGTGGCCCATAGTTAAACTCCACAGGTTTTGCACCTTGAATTTTTGGCCCTAGAATCAATTCAGATGATTTTACACCTCCTGACTCTACAAAGCATTTCAACTCTGCAGGTTTGACACCTCGAGATTGTGAACCAAGATTTAGCCCTCCAGTTTTTCCATCTTGGAACTCAGGACCTGGTATGCACTGCACAGATTTTGCACTTCCAAGCCGTGAGTCTTGGTTTAACTCCACAGTTTTCACACCTTGAAGTTGTGGCTCTGAGCTTGATGCTGGACTTTTCCTTTTTTGCAGCTGTGGTCCTTGAGACAACTCAGCAGCTTTCACACAGTGCACCTGTGACCCTAGGTTAAACTCCATAGATGTTGCACTTTGAAGTTTTGGCCCTAGAGGCAGTTGAGATGACTTTACACCTCCTGACTCTATGGAAGATTTCAACTCCGCAGGTTTGACAACTTGAGATTGTGAACCAAGATTTAACCCTGTAGGTTTCACACCTTGGAACTCAGGTCCTGGTATCCACTGCACTGATTTCACACTTCCAAGCTGTGAGTCTTGGTTTAACTCCACAGTTTTCACACCTTGAACTTGTGGCTCTGAGCCTGAAGCCAAAATTTTCCCTTTTTGTAATTGTGGTCCAGCAGACAACTCAGGGGCTTTTACACACTGCAACTGTGCCCCAAGGTTAAACTCCATAGGTTTTGCACCTTGAAGTTTTGGTGCTAGAACCAATTTAGATGCTATCATATCTCCCAACTGTAAGGAAAGTTTCAACTTTGCAGATTTGACACTTCGAGATTGTGGCCCAGGATTTAATCCTACAGATTTTACACCTTGGAACTCAGGTCTTGTTATCCACTGAATAGATTTTCTTCTTCCAAGCTCTGGCTCTTTGTTTAACTCCATGATTTTCACACTTTGAAGCTGTGGCTTTGCAGTTGAGCCCAAAGGTTTTGCTTGGTGCAACTGTGGTCCTGGAGTCAACTTGGGACATTTCAGACTTTGCAACTGTGGTTCATGTTTGAACTCTTCAGCTTTTACATCTTGCATATTTGGTTCTGGAGCCAATTCAGATGATTTTATACCTTTCGACTGTAGGTCAGACTTGAGGTCTACAGATTTTATACCTTTAGATTTTGACTCTGGAATTAACTCCAAACACATTATTCCTTCTGACTCAGACCCTCTCTTTACTTGCTCAAAATTCACACATTGCTGCTCTAGTGAGTTTACAGATTTCTGACCATCCTGTTCTGGCTCAAGGGTTAAATCCACAGGTTTTACTTCTTCAAACTCTTGTCCTCTGGTTACATTCACAGGTTTTACTACCAGTCTTTTCTGCCTTGGTGCAAGCTTTACAGATTTTACACATTGCAGATGTGGATCTTTAGTCTCCTTTATAGATTTTAAACTTTGAAGCTTTAAACATGGAGTAATTTCCACAAATTTCGTATCTTGCATTTGTGGGACTGAAGTCAGTTCCTCAGGTTTCATGCTTTGTAGCTGTGGCCTTTGAAGCATCTCCATAGATTTAACCCCTTGAATCAATGGCTCTGGTGCAAAAGCCATAGGCCTCTCACCTTGCATCTTTAGCCCAAATTTTAATTTCACAGCTTTCATATCGTGCAGCTGTGTATCTGGGACCAACTCCTCAGTTTTAAAATCTTGAATTCTTGAACCTGGAGTCAACTCCAGAGATTTTACATCTTGAAGCTCCGAATCAGGGATGAATTCCACAGCTCTGACATGTTCTCTCTGTGACTGTAAGGTTATCGCCACAGATTTCCCACCTTCCCGCTGTGGACTTGGAGTTATTTCCATAAATTTCATTCCTTTCAGGCATGGTCCTGGAGTTAAGGTCACAGATTTCTTATCTTCTAACTGTGACTGTGAGGTCAGCAACTCAGATTGGTGTTTTAACACAGATGACTGGAAAACAGATAAACTATGCTTCTGGCATTCCCAAGTTGTTCTTTCAGAAGAGTTACTGCATGATCTATAGGAGATGCTGTGGTCAGTAGAATGTTCTTCTTTCTTATAGTCACAACAGCGTAAAACAGTCTTCTGAGCCACAAGAACAGAGGAGGTACAGGTAGAAATTGTATCCTGCGGTTCTGGCAAATCCTGTTCCGTAAGCTTTAATCTAAGAAATAAGGAGAAATGTTTCCGTTGCATTGAAATAGGAAAAGGAAAAAAGTGGCTATTTCAAATGCAAAATATTTTTGGCCTGAGGGAGAATTGGGGGGGGGGGAAAAAGTTTCTTCCGCCAACATCAGTTACTTATAGAAAGAATTCCTCTTCCAGGACAAAGGGAGAAAACTGTTCCCATTCCACCCAGAAATTACCCTTTGACCAGTTTGAACCCAGAACTTCCTCCACAGACAAAATGAACTCTTTCCCTCCCTCCTTCCTCCCCTTCCTTCCTCCTTTTTAAAACCTCTACCACCTTCAGTCCTCATCCAGAAACTACGATGCCTGACCTTGCGCTTTCCAGGTTTTGGAAGATCTTTTGAAGTCTCTGCTCTATTGACCGGAGTGTATTTTTTTGGGTCCAGTCGCCAGGGAGTTCTGAAACACTGGATGCAACACGGTATGTCAATGTAATTGAAGTCTCATGAAAATACCAGTAAGGAAAACAGTAAGAGATTTAACATAGAAAAGAGAAAGTTAACATAGTGAAGGAAGGAAAACAGGGTACCAGGTACTTTACTTTAACTTTCACAGAGTTTATCAGTAGAATTGGCTGAAGACAGGCTTTACTCACCACGTCATGTTAGCTTCACTGCAAGCCATCCCAAGGGTTTCTTTCCTCTGTGGATCTGGAAGAAGAGGTGAAGAATCTGTCAGCATCATGATTATTCACATCATTTCAGCCAACCCCCTTTTTTTGCAAATAAGGAAATAAAGATGAAGTTATGCCCAAGATCATGAAGCTAATTAGTGGTAAATCTCAGACTTAACCCATCTCAACATTTTTCAAAAAGCTACACTGCTTCCATCATACATGCTGCCTTCATCATACAGTAAATGTAAGCTATATACATTGGGAAGCATAGGAATAATCATAGTAATAAGCAGTGGGAGTAGGGGAAAGAGAGGCCATGATACATATTTTTTCCTCCAAAGGAGTCTATCCAGTATCTATGGTGGGGGAAAAAAGATAGGGAAACTTCCCTCACCAAACTCTTGGTAGTTACCCTTTGTTCATTTTACAATCTCACCAAGTTTCCTTCCCAATACCTTGGGATTTGAACAAAAGGAGCTGAGGAGAGGAAGCATGAGGAAAGGAACCGTGCAGCTGTATACATACAGCTCTTTTTTTTTATTCTTCTAATCTTATGACAGATTAACATACATCTCTTTAGACATGGGGATACTAGAAGAAGCACACTTCTTCCATTTACATCCTCTTTCCAACCTCCCTCCACCTGCTATTTAAGGCTAGAGGCATAAGGCAGACCTATAATTGGTCTGTCATTAACCTGGAACTGAAGAGTAAAGGATAGAATCATTCTGACCTGTTAATTTCTGGATCTTTTTCCATCTATGGTGCTTTGAAGTCTATAGAAGCACAAAAAGAAAATCAGGTTATGTTCTAGGTTAGAGACTTTATTGACAGCACATCTCACCTTTTAGTTATCAGATATTGATACATCTCATGTATGAGGTATTGATAGAGTTGGCACCCATAACCATACATAAATATATAGAGGATAGTGATTAACTTCCTAAGACGGAAGGGAAGAATTACTCAAGAAGTTACATTTCTACTGGAGTTTAAAGAATCAGCATAAGACTTTTAGGTGAAGAAAGAGTATTTCAGGCAAGCGGAAACATCACTGAGATCAGCATGTCATGAAGGTCAGGTGCACTTTTGCTAAGCAGTGGGAGATGCTAGGCTGACAAGGTAGATGGAAGCCAGGTTATGCCTAATGATAAAATTTTAATTTTATTCTATAGTTGGAAAACTCCCAAGGTTTTTGCAAAATGCTCCAGGTCATTTTAAAGGCAGTAATAGCATTTGTTACCATTTCAAATCAAACAGTTTTTTTTTTTGAGACAGAGTCTTGTTCTGTCACCTAGGCTGGAGTGCAGTGGTGTGATCTCGGCTCACTGCAACTTCCACCTCCTGGGTTCAACCGATTCTCCTGCCACAGCCTCCCAAGGAGCTGGGATTATAGGCATGTGGCACCATGCCTGGCTAATTTTTGTATTTTTAGTAGTGATGGGGTTTTGCCATGTTGGACAGGCTGGTCTCAAACTCCTGACCTCAGGTTATCCGCCTGCCTCAGCCTCCCAAAGTGCTAGCTGGGATTACAGGCATGAGCCACCACTCCTAGCCCAGCAGCCTTTTAATACCGAATTAAGCTTCTCAAAAAAGAGTAAGGGAAATCGTTACAGGCCAAAAATAAGGAGAAAAGTGAAAAACATGAGTGGCATATCATCTGATATTTCAATGCCCTACATCATTTGTAGCATCAATCAGAAGGGATTTAGGTTAACAACAAAGTGGGAGCAAAAGACAAGGCCCATGTGAAGTGTGTATTTGGAATTGAGGCCCTGGGAAATAGTCAGAATTCTCAAAGTGCCTCGTGTTTAGTGGAAAGGTGGCTAGGAAAAAATCTGCCCACCACAAGAAAATTTGTACTCTAGGTGGGGAAAACAAACAAACCCTTCCCTGAGAATTTTAACCATGAGTCTATACTCATACTGGCTCCGCATTCTAATTAAACCCACTGTGTTGCCAGGAACCCTCAAACTGAAAATAAAAGTGGAGTGAACCTGGGCCGGTAATGCTTTAGGGTAAAAGATGAAAGTAAATGTAAATCTCCTTGGAAATTAAAAAGAAGTAGAAGTGGTCAGGTGCAGTGGCTCATGACCATAATCCAGCATTTTGGGAGGCTGAGGCAGGAGGATCCATCATGCCCAGGAGTTTGAGACCAGCCTGGGCAACATGTGAGACCCTGTTTCTACAAAAAATAAAAAGTAATTTAAAAAAATTAGCCGGGGTGGCCAGGCACAGTGGCTCACACCTGTAATCCCAGCACTTTGGGAAGCCAAGGCAGACAGATCACTTGGGGTTGGGAGTTCCAGACCAGCCTGGCCAACATGGTAAAACCCCATCTCTACTAAAAATACAAAAATCAGCCAGGTATGGTGGTGCATGCCTGTAATCGCAACTACTCAGGAGGCTGAGGCAGGAGATCACTTGAACCCGGGAGTTGGAGGTTGCAGTGAGCCAAGATCATGCCATTGCACTCCAACCTGGGCAACAGAGCAAGAGTCAGTCTCCCAAAAAAAAAAAAAAAAAAAAAAGCTGGGTGTGGTGGTGTATGCCTGTGGTCCCAGATACGTGGGTGGTTGAGGTAGGAGGATCTCTTGAGCCCAGGAGGTCAAGTCTGCAGTGAGCTGTGATCCTGCCACTGCACTCTCCAGCCTGAGTGACACAGCAAGACGCTGTCAGAAAAAAGAGAAAGAAAGAAAGAGAAGGAGGAAGAAAACTGTTTGAATAAGTACATATTAATAATGTGAAAACTCTGATAAAATAGTTAAATTCCTAGAAATAAAATAAGATACCAAAGTTGGGCAAGAAGGAATAGATCATTTGAGTAGACCAGTAAGGATGAAAGCATTTGAAATGATTATCAGACATTCTTTATCAGACATAATAAAATAATTCACCAAGATTTCTGAATACCAGAACGACTTACAAATATCAATAACATTACTACAGTAAAAACTATAAAAATATTATTTAAAATAATAAAAGATATTTTTCACAATAGCAACAAAAAATGATAAAAGTAGCAAGGTGTTAAGTAAACCAATAATACAGAAGACTTCCATGTAGAAAACTATAAAATGCTAATAAAAGACATAGAAGATGATCATAATAAATGGAGAGACAGTCCAAGTTCTTGGTTGGAATAACTTGAAATTACAAAGATGTCATTATTCCCCAAATTAATTTTTTTTTAAGGCAGTCTTGCTCTGTCAGCCAGGCTGGAGTGCAGTGGTGTGATCTCGGCTCACTGCAACCTTTGCTTCCTGGGTTCAAGCAATTCTCCTGCCTCAGCTGCCCGAGTAGCTGGGACTACAGGTGTGCGCCACCAGGCCTGGCTAATTTTTGTATTTTGAGTAGAGACAGGGTTTCACCATGTTGGCCAAGCTGGTCTTGAACTCCTGACCTCATGATCCACCTGCCTTGGCCTCCCAAAGTGCTAGGATTACAGGTGTGAGCCACCAGCCCAGCCAAATTAAATTATGTATATATGTGTTTGTATATAGACATATATGTATATTTTTAGTCTATTTATTTATTTATTTGTTGAGACAGGGTCTTGCTCTATTGCCTTGGCTGGAGTGCAGTGGCATGATTCACTACAGACTCGACATCCAAGGCTGAAGTAATTCTCCTGCATCAGCCTCCCAAGTAGCTGGGACTATGGGTGCATGACCCCACACCTGGCTAATGTTTTTTATTTTTATTTTTTGTAGAGACAAGCTCTCATTATATTGCTCAGGCTTAAATAATATTTTAATGTATTCCCAATTCATATTTCATTTGGAATGTTTCAAGAACTTGTTAAATGCTCTAAAATTAATGTGACAAAATAAAGGTCTACTAATAGCTAAACCAACCTTAAAAAGAAGAGCAAAGGGAGTGACTTGCTGTACCAAACAGCAAACATACAAACACTAAGACAAAGCTGTAGGAAATAACAGGAACAAGTAGACCAATGGAACAGATAGAGAGCTCAGAGGCAAACTTATGTATACATGGCAAATTATTATAATAAAGGGAGTTCCATAAATCAATGGGAAAATGATTGTTTAGCAAACAGTGACGAGAGCCGGGCACAGTGACTAATGCGTATAATCCCAGCACTTTGAGAGGCCAAGACGTGCAGATTGAGCTCAGGAGTTCCAGACCAGCCTGGGCAATGTGGGGAAACCCCATCTCCACAAAAAATTAGCCAGGCGTGGTGGCACACACCTGTGGTCCCAGCTACTTGGGAGGCTTAGGTGGGAGGGTCACTTGAGCCTGGGAGGCGTAGGTTGCAGTGAGCTGAGACGGTATCATTGCACTCCAACCTGAGCGAAACAGTGAAACCCTGTCTTAAAAAAAAAAAAAATAGGCCAGGCATGATGGCTCACGCCTGTAATCCCAGCACTTTGGAAGGTCGAGGCGAGAGGATCACGAGGTCAGGAGTTCGAGACCAACCTGACCAACATGGTGAAACCCCGTCTCTATGTTAAAGAAAAAGAAAAAAAAAGAAATGGTTATGGGAAAACTAGCTCACTATAGAGAAAAATAAAGTTGGATCACTTCCTAATACCACATATAGAGGTGGACTTTAAGTATATTAAAAACTAAAATGTGAAATGTAAGACTGGAAAAGAGAAAAAAAGGTAGGAGAAAATCTTTGTGACCTAAAGCAGAGAACTCCTTAAGGAAAACTTCAGAAAAATAAACCATAGGCATAATTGCTAAAAGAGAAGAATTTAAATGTTTCCACCACACACAAAACAGATAAGTGAGATGGCTATGTAATTCACTTGATTTAGTCAGTCCGCAATGTAAACATCCAGCAAACCATCACATATGAAAGTTGTCAAAACTAATATATATAAAAGTCAATTAAATGTCATGCATCACTTGTTACAGAAGAAATAGTGGACATTTGAATTTTACACTTTAAGATGATGTTAAAATAACTTTCCAGTTATAAAATTATTGTTTTAAAATAAAATGTGTCTAATATATATTATAAAAAAAATGGACAAAATACTTTAGTTTCTATGGATGTTGACAAAATTATGATAGTGAAAGAAGTTTGAGAGTCAAAAAAGGTTTGAAAATGCTGCTGCAGACAATAGGTTACAGAGAAACTTTGTGTGCTTAGTTTAGCAGAGTGACACAATTAGCTTTGGGGGTTCTGTGTATGCTATCTTTGTGACAGTGTCTTGCTCTGTCATCCAGGCTGGAGTGCAGTGCAGTGGCACCACCCTGACTCACTGCAGCCTTCACCTCCCAGGTTCAAGTCATTCTCCTGCCTCAGCCTCCCAATTAGCTAGGACTACAGGTACATGCCACCATACCCAGCTAATTTTTGTATTTTCAGTAGAGACAGGGTAGTCTCCAACTTCTGGCCTCACGTGATCCACCCATCTCAGCCTCCCAAAGTGCTGGGATTACATATGTGAGCCACCGCGCTCAGCAGAAACTGAATTTTAAATTCTATTTAATTTTAATTAATTTATGGCCAAGTGTGGTGACTCATGCCTATAGCCCCAGCACTTTGGGAGGCTGAGGTGTGTGGATTGCTTGAGCCCAGGAGTTTGAGACCAGCCTGGGCACCATGGCGATACCCTGTCTTTATCAAAAAAATACGAAAAACAGGCAGGCATAATGGCATAGGCCTGTAGTCTCAGCTAATCGGGAGACTGAGATGGGAGAATCACTTGAGCTTGGAAGTTCAAGGTTGCAGTGAGCCATGAGTTGTACTCCATCCTGGGTAACAGTGAGATCCTGTCTCGAAAATAAAAAATATAAATGATCACATATGACTAGTGGATACAATATTGAACATCACAGGTCTCAGCCTGTGAATATCTCCACATAAATTCTACCAGCACTTCCAATACAATAGTTGATTTTCTGCCTCCCACCACATTCACCACTTTTCCTATCTAATGTTGCCTGTGTTGTTTAAAACACCATCATCTTGTGAGTCATTCAGGGTTAGAATTGAGAAGTCATTTATTTATTTCACAAACAACTACGGAGCCCTTACTAATATGCCAGGCAGTGTACTAGGCACGGGAAATGCCGTGATGAATGTAGTCCTCATAGAAAATGATGATAATGTTTATGACTTACTCTTGGCATAAGGAAAACTAGACTCAATACCTTCTCCCTCCTTTGCAAGGGAGTTTTACATCACCTTCCACATGCAAACGTTCACCCCAGGACCGCCTCCACTTTCACATCCCTGACAGCAGACACTTTCACCCCTTCCACTTACTGCTGTATCAATAGTGCACAGAGGAGTGCAAATGGGGGGAGAGGGGTGGGATAAATATTTGGGGAATTAATTTATGTTCTCTTCTCTTTTTTAGATGGAGATTTCTTCTTGTTGCCCAAGCTGGGGTGCAGTGGCATGATCTCAGCTCACTGCAAATTCCACCTCCTGGGTTCACGTGATTCTCGTGTTTCAGCCTCCCCAGTAGCTGGGACTATAGGTGCATGCCACCATGCCTGGCTAATTTAGTATTTTTAGTAGAGACGGGGTTTCACCATATTGGCCAGGCTGGTCTTGAATTCCTGACCTTAAGTGATTTACCCGCCTCTACCTCCCAAAGTGCTGGGATTACAGGCGTGAGCCCCCCACCTGGCTATGTACTCTTTTTCACCATACTGCTCTTATTTTATTTCCTCCCTTCTTCCCACTAAACCATTAAAATGGCCTACCTATTCCAGAGAACTATAATAAAAGCCTGCTGGAGGTATTTAAAGCCTCACTCTTAAAGTGCGGTCCCGGTTGAAGGGCAGCAGCATCACCTGGGAGCTTGTTAGAACTGTAGAAACTCAATCCCTACCCAGCCTTACTACATCAGAATCTGCTTTTTAACAAGACCCCCAGGTGACACATATGCATGTTAAAGTTTGAAAAGCATTGCTCTAAAGCACAGCTCTAAGCACATTTTTACCTGGCTTTAAAATTTTTGATATCTTTCAAACGGCACAGAGTGGTATTTATACAAAGTATTCAGCCTGGCATTCAAAACTACAATGTGACCTCTGTCAATTTCTCAACCCTTTCTCGCTCTGAGTCCTTACTGTTCTATACTCCATCTAGATTGGCAAATGCAGTCCTCATAGCACTGCAATCTCTCCTCAGACATATCCAATACTCTTCCCTTTCCCATGCCTTTTTTCCAATGTATTCACCCCAACCACCTTCCAAATCCCACTCTTTCTCTGAAGCACACTCAAACATGAGCTCTCCCTGATGGCAGTTTATAGAGCCCCTTGTTCAAAATGCTGTCTACCTCCCAAGTCTTTAGCAACATGTATACATCTAACTCTTAACACATTCTCTTTCCTTGAAGTTACGTGTCTATCTGTCTCCCCCACCTCGAGGTCCTAGAAAGTGGGGATAGTTTTTTATTCTTCTTCAATGTCTACTACACTGCCATATATAATAGGTGCTCAAGGTCTGCAGAAATGAATCGGAGGAAAAATGATGTATAGTGACCTATAGGAAGACATCCAGGGGCACTGTCTCAGCTCCCCTCTCTCCACATCCAGTTCCTCCCCTGACCCAAAAGTATAGGAGTTTCTGTGGCCTTAGGAGCAGGGACCAGTGAGTTTCAAGGGAGGGCTACATCACTTACCTCTGAGTTTATCTTGGCTGGCACCTGCTTCCAGCTCTGAGTCCCAGAAAACAGCATCCAAAGTCCCAAAATGAAAAAAACAAATAAGAATAAAAGGTTGATACATGACGGCAGTGGGATGTCCATCCCCTAAATTGGTGCCATTTTTCAACCAGATGTTCTTCTCAACTGAAGAGTTTCCTGCCTCCAGGCTGTGACTTCATGTGCTATCACAATGGGCACATGTAGTCACATGTATATCTGACAGCATGCAGTCAGTGTGCAGGCTGCTTAGGTCTTTTCTCTGAGCCACACCCAAAGTAGCATCTGCTGCCCCTTCCTGCAGCTGTCCATAGGCTCTGCTCTGACAGCCAAACTCGGGGAAGAACTCCTTTATGACTCCTCTAGGATTGGGCTAGACAGCTTGTCATTAAGTAGGGAGTATAGAGGCAAGGTTTTAAAGATGCAGGACTTCCAAGTGGCCTGTTCTACCCTACAAGCATTTTCTCTAGAGCCAATCACTCCCTAGAAGTCCAGGTATGGAGTTAAATGTCCCAAACCACAAACTAGAAAACAAGATCAAGTAAACTAAAGAAAACTAGGATATTTTTAGTAGGTACTCTCAGAACATTTGAGACATACGGTTTCCTAAATCTAAGGCTTGACACATTTCCTAGCTGCTATTGCACTGGGACAGAAAAGAGATGCCAGAGAGGGAAATTAAATGACCTTAGAGGATCACTCTGCCCCAGAATCTACAGTCTCATTTTCAAAATCTGGAACATTTACTCTGTCAGGTCATCCAGACGTGACTGGATTCTCCAGGCTAATTCACTCAACAAAAAATGTACAAGGAATCAATTCATGCTATAACAAAGATTAATAAAACTGGCCAAAGCATTCTTCCTTTTTTTTTTTTTTTTTTTTTATTTTTTTTGGGACAGAGTCTCACTTTCTCATAGGCTGGAGTGCAGTGGCATGATCTCAGTTCACCACAACCTCTGCCTACTGGGTTTAAGCGATTCTCCTGCCTCAGCTTCCCGAGTAGCTGGCTCTACAGGCGCGCGCAACCACACATGCCAGAATGCATCACAGAGCTTTCTAAAAGCCTTGTCTGGGGCCATTAAGAGAATGGAAGCATTTTGGACAATATATAGATGGCACGGGGTCATCGCTGTGAAGGTTGCTGACCAGAAGCCAACAGAATGGTATTTTAGAAAATGAATTAAGCAGTACTGTAGGAACAAAGTCGGAAAGGATAGCATATCAAGACATGATTTGTTTTTTGTTTTTTTTTTTGAGCCGGAGTTTCACTCTTGTTGCCCAAACCAGAGTGCAGTGGTGCAATCTCAGCTCACTGCAACCTGGGCAACAAGAGGAAGACTACGTCTCAAAAAAGAAAAAGGATTGAAGTTGGGAGACTTGAACCTTTGTCTCTAAGGTTCAAGCGATTCTGCTGCCTCAGTCTCCTGTGTAACTGGAATTGCAGGCGTGCGTCACCATGCCCGAGTAGCTGTGATTTCAGGCATAGGCCACCATGCCCGGCTAATTTTTTGTATTTTTAGTAGAAACGGGGTTTCACCATGTTAGCCAGGCTTGTCTCTAACTTCTGACCTCAGATGATCCACCCGCTTCAGCCTCCCAAAGTGCTGGAATTACAGGCGTGAGCCACCGTGCCCAGCCCAGCAATTTTTAAAGTTGTAAAAATCACTTCGAAAACACCAAGTTTGACTTTTCTTTGCTCACCATAATACCTAACTCTAAGTCATGCACTTTGGTCTTTACTCTGATATAATATCAACTGAGCCATGTGTTAGTCCAAGTTCCCTAACTTTTAGCTGTCAGGGCTCTGTCTTACATCTGCTTAACAGCCTTCAGAGGTTCTGGCTCTATTATCCAGCGGGCGCTCCACAGATTCCTGCTACCTGATTGAAAAGGAAAAGACACAGAGGAGACAGCTGCAGATGTGAGAAGGGAAGCTGAGTGTGAATGGAGGCCTAGGAAGAAGGAGGGCCAGAAAGAGCCTGCTGCCCTCACCTTCATCCAGCCCTTCTCCATCAGGCCGCTGTTTCCAGAGTCTTGCACTCTGAGGTAGCAGTCCACGGCACGGCTGTACTCTCCAGCCTGCTCCCAGTTTCGCGCTTGTTCCACAAGTCCCTCCACACCCCTGTGGAGATTAGAGCACTGGGGCTAGGCATGGGGGGGGCGGCATGCTCTAACCTGTGCATGCCTCATGACGCTCCCAGCCCTGCCACTGCTGCTGGACCTCTGGCCTCATACCTGGCCCCCTTCTTAGTAGCTTCCCGCTCATACTCCTCCTGCAGAGCCTCCAGCTGACCGGGCACATAGTCCTTGCAGATCTGCAGCGTGTCACTCCATAATCCAGCCTCCTTCTCAGATTTCCAGGTATCAAGAGGGCAGAGGCAGGCATGACAGCTTCCCACTGCCACACAGGTGCCCTGGTCCACGGACTCCTGGGTCCTTAGACCTCTCTTCTCCTTCCTCTTTCCTGTCTTTCCCACTCCCCAGTACTAATCTCCTTGATCTTTCTTCATACCAGGGGTCACTGTGGCTATCTGTGGGCTCTCAGACTGTCTCCGTCGCCTCATGGCCCTGAATCCAGTGCCCCACCTTATTATAATTGAGAGTCAGGCCTGATCTCTAGGCCCGGAGCAGCAGCCCTTCTGCTTTCTGAAAGTCCTCCTCCTCCGACACCCTCCGAGCCTGTCCCACAAGCACCTCACGTGGGCCTCGGCCACATGCTAAGCTATCTCCCCGTCCTGAATATGAACAAACCTGCCCCCAAATGGGGACAGAGGAGAGAATGAGTATAGGACTAAGGCCCCAATTGGGGGAGACAAACAGCCATGTCACTGAGGGGTATAACACTGATTTGTTCTAGGTTTGAATGAAGGTCAAGATAATCATGAAAGATCCTGGGACTGTGACTGGGGAAACAGGATTAAGGAATGTATGGGGTAACTCACATGATGACTTCTTCCCTGGGTTTACCAGCTTTGATGAATTCAGCTTCAGCCTCTTCGAATTTACCCTACAGGGAGAAGGACAGCTGTGCGTGATGAGGAGACTGGCATCACAGGCAGCCACGAGACGGGTCTGCACACCAGGCAGCAGTGCACTAGGGGATGGAACAAGAGGGCTCTGCGGTCGGGGTCCAAATCACACCCATACCTCATCCTCCAGGTACATAGCGTATTTGAGATGGATCTCAGGGGTTTTGTGCTTGAGGGACAGCCAAGAGAGTTCAAAAGCAAATTCAAAGGAGCTGAAACAGAAGGTGCAGATAAAGTTCTTACTTCATACTTCCCTTCATAAAAGAACAAGACAAGACAAAATAGAGAAAGGACAGGGTTGAGGGGAGAAAAAGAGACAGGTTTAAGGATAACAGACATGAAGTGACAGAAAAGCATAGAGATAAAGAGGAAGACAGGCAGGCAGCCCTGTGAAGACCATGTCACTGTTGGCGTGGATCAAGAGATGTCTGGAAAAGCCTGTGGCTTCCCTGAGGCCAGCTGCTCCTGTGGAAGGAGAATGGGCCTGCGAAGGGGAAGGGAGGAGTGAGCCTCTCAGTCCTATGCTGACAGGGCCAGGAGGGCTCCTGGTGCTCATCACCTCCTCCTGAGCCCCAGCTGCATTATCAGAAACAGTCTCTCCAAAAAAGGGGCAAGATCACCCTCAGCATCGGACTCCACGATTGGCATTTATAACAGTTGCTTAAGAAAAGTTCACTTTGCTCTTTCCGCCATTTTTCTGCACAGCCACAATGGTGCGCATGAATGTTCTGGCTGATGCTCTCAAGAGCATCAATAATGCCGGAAAGAGAGGTTCTTACCAGGCTGTGCTCCAAAGTCATCGTCTGGTTTCTAACTCTGATGATGAAATACACTGGGTGAATTTGAAATCACTGATGATCATAGAGCTAGGAATATTGTTGTGAACCTCACAGGCAGGCTGAACAAGTGTGGAGCGATCTGCCCCAGATCCAACATGCAACTCAGAGATCTAGAAAAATGGCAGAATAATGTGCTCCCATCCTGCCAGTTTGGTTTTTTGTTGTTGTTGAGATGGAGTCTCGCTCAGTCGCCCAGGCTGGAGTGCAATGGCAGGATCTTGTCTTGCTGCAACCTCTGCCTCCCAGGTTCAAGCGATTGTCATGCCTCAGCCTCCCAAGTAGCTGGGACTACAGGTGCCCGCTACCATGCCCAGCTAATTTTTGTATTTTTAGTAGAGATGGGCTTTCACTATGTTGGTCAGGCTGGTCTTGAACTCCTGGCCTCAAGTGATCGGCCTGCGTCTGCCTCCCAAAATGCTGGGATTATAGGCATAAGCCACCACACCCAGCCTCCCTGTTAATTTAGAACAGTTACTGGATCCTTGTCAAAGCCAAGGTCAGAGATTAGAAGAGAGCAACTCTGTATTGGAGGATTATTGAGTGAGTTTGCTTTACAGGTGGCCAGGACTCAAGGAGGGGCCAATGCCCACAAACACATGGCCTTTCTGTGGGCAAAGAGGCTGGGAGGAGAAGCTGCAGTTAGATTGTTTGCCAAGCTTGGACTCCTGGAAGCTTCTGTTGACCATGCTGCAGACAATTGGTGAGGCCCCGAACATTCTCTCCACAAGCCCCATCCCAGACAGAGCCCTTTTCTAGATAAAGAAAATTAATGCATAACTGAAAAATATTTCCAGAAGCGGAGACAAGAATGAAGAAATTCAGTAAAGGAAGATTCTTGGAAGGACATGATAGAGTGGTAAGAATAAATTAACTGCTCCTATTCCCTAGGGGCTCAGAACAGTGTTTTAGTTTTGGCCATTCTAAGAAGGGTAGAGAGGGAACAGATTGTAAAGCTAGCACTGCAGACTGTAGAACTGAGTAGTTCTAGCTACTTGGGAGGCTTAGGCAGGAGAACTGCTTGAACCTGGGAGATAGAGGCTGCGGTGAGCCAAGATCGTGCCACTGCACTTCAGCCTGGGCAACAGAGTGAGACTCTGTCTCACAAAATAAAATAAAAAGTTAACAGGAAGAAGGCTACTGGACTATAGGAGAGGTGGTAGACTGCTTATGAAAGAAAAAAGTAATCAAAGGCCCAAGAAGGAAGTTTGTCTAGAAAAGTAAGGACTAACCCAAGAGGAGGAAATTAGGGAAAGGGTGAAATTAACTATGTAAACCTCTCTGAAAGCTCTCCCCAAACCTTTGGAAACCTAGCTCACCAGTACACTTTCCTCCCTTGAGTTTACACCCCCTTTTCCCTTTTTCCCTCATATCCCCCCCTGCATCCTGTCCCTCTTTTCTGTTACCTGTTCCAAAAAGATCATTTCGACCAGTTTGTGGTTCTTTCTCAGCATGGCTAAACGTGCTTGGACCTGAAAGTCTGTCCCTTCTCCACCTGTGGGGAAAAAGGAGGCTCTGGTTTTTCTGTAGTTGCTGTATTCTATCTTGTGAGGGCTGAGATTAGAAGGCCAGATGGATGTAGACAATAAAAGACCTTATGAATCAACAGGAAGTTAAAAAAGAAAGAAAGAAAGAAAAGATTTGGGGAGGTAAAACACTTCATAGAGCTTAAAGGTTTGAGGTTCAGCGACTCTGAAATGGTCTGACTGGAGGGTAGAGGTGGAGTGAGCAGGGTAAAGGAAACTAGGGATGGCTGGAAAGCTAGGAATCATGGGGCTGAATACTACAAGAAATCAGTTTGGGAGACGGAATGAATCAGGAGCATAATACTTGCATATTCCCGGGATACTTGATCTGCAATCTCATTGGTCTCATGCAGGAATTGAGCTTTTGCTACTTGACCCAAAGCAGAAAAGCACCTATGGCATGGAAGCAAAGACATTAATATAATATTATTACAGAATCGTCATTAATTCATTGGTTCAGCAAATACAAATTGATGTGCATCTATCATGTGCCAGGCAGTGTGCTTGTCACTGGAGACACTTAGGAGAAAGGGAAGATGAGGGCCTTACTCTCAAGAGAACTTCCATTCTAATAGAGACAAATAATTAGTAGAAGTAGAGATAATAAAAAATAAAGTAATATAATACAATAGATCAAGCTTGCTCAACCCATGGCCCAAGATGGCTCTGAATGTGGCCCAACTCAAATTCATAAACCTTCTTAAGATATTATGAGATTTTTTTATTCTCTTCCTTTTTTTTTTTTTAAGCTCATCAGCTATCATTAGTGTTAGTGTATTTTATGTGTGGCCAGAGGTGATAATTCTTCCAATGTGGCCCAGGGAAGCCAAAAGATTGGATGCCCCTGTTATAATGACTGAAGGGGCCACTTTAGTTGGTAGTTGGAGAAGGTCTCCCTGATGAACTAATTTGAGCTGAAACCCGAATACAAGAAAAAGCCAGTCATGGCAGGATGGGCAAAAGTCATTCCTGAGAGGGAACAGCTAGTGTAAAGGCCCTGTAGCAGGTATGAGCTTAGCATGCTCACAGAGTCTGAAGGATGCCAGTGTGGTTGGAGACTAATGGGCAAGTAGGGGGCTGGCATGAGAAGGAAGCAGAGGCCAAAAACTTTCAGGGCTGAGGCCACACAAGGAGTCTGGGTTTCTCACCAAGTAAAAGAGTAGGCTATTGGAATATTCCCGTCATGAAAAAGACTCAATCTGTGTTTTAAAAAATTACCTCAGCTGCTCTGAATGAACAGATGGTAGGGGTACAAGAAACAGTATCAGCAAGACTAATTAAGAGGCTGTGCAATATTGCAGGTAGGAGATGGCGGTGGTCTGCACTAGGATGGAGACATCAGGATGTGTTTTGAAGAGAGTCTTTAGGACTTGCTGATAATCTATCTACATGTGGGAAGTATGGGGAAAATGGGATCAAGGATGATTCCCACCTGCTGCCAGGTGACATTTATTGAGCACTTTGCACAGATTCTCTCATCACTCCTTCTCTACCAATACCCTTACCATCTTCTTTATCATCAGATGAGGCAAATACTATTATTATCCCTATTGTACACAGAGAAAATAAAGAAGCCAAGGTTTGGAAAGGTCAAATAACCTCTCTAAGGTTATACAAGTTGGTAATTGGAACCAAGATTTGAACTCAAGGAGTCTGGAGTCCCAAGATTGTCCTATTAACTACACTCCGATACTAAACCTGGATTATACACATATGCATGGGTTGAAGGGTATGAATAGTAAAACATGTTAAGGGGAACCTAGTCAAGAAGGGGCAGTAAAAATAATAGAAGACATACTCTTGTTTTTTGACTTTTTTTTTTTCTGAGATAAGGTCTCACTCTGTCACCCAGGCTGGAGTGCAGTGGTATGACCTCAGCTCACTGCAACCTTCGCCTCCTGGGTTCAAGCGAATCCTGTGCCTCAGCCTGCTGAGTAGCTGAGACCACAGGTGCACACCACCCTGCCTGGCTAATTTCTGCATTTTTAGAAAAGTTGGGGTTTTGCCATGTTGGCCAGTCTGGTCTCAAACTCCTGGATCAAGTGATCCCCCTGCCTCGGCCTCTTAAAGTGCTAGGATTACAGGCGTGAGCCACTGTGCCTGGCCAAGACATACCGTTATAATCTAGGATGGGAGAGTGTTTGGAATATTGTAATGCAGAAAGGCTCTATGTTATTTGCTGGCAGTGGGAAGGGAAGCAGAGCCTTAACACTGGGTTGGAGCGGCCCACAGGGAAAATACTCATGGTCATCCCTCCTAGCTGCCTGGACCTCTGTTCTACACCTCACCTCTCCGCAATGTGTAGTTGCCTTGCTTCTAGCGCCAGTTGACACAAGGTTTTCCACAGTGCCTCTGTTTCTGGGGTCATTTCCAGAGTCTCTAAGAAGGCTGTTGCCCTGGAAAGGGAAGGAAGCAAAGCAAAAGGAATGAGGGACGAGTCAGGAAGACGCAGCAGAAGACTGGTGATGGGGCAGGGGGAGGGGGAAGGGCCATTTTTGTCTCATCTCCTCCCAGGATCACTGGATCCTTATCAGTTTTGGCCAGTTTTACACCCCACCCCAGGTCCTTCCCTCTCAGAACCAGACTCTCCCACCACCTCACTGGTTATTGTCCAGCCTCTCACTGGGTGTAGTTGCCATCATCAATGGCTGTTCCAAACTCCATGAGGCCTTCATCCAGTGTGTAGGCAACAGTAGTCACACCTTCCATCACCAGCACCTCGGTCTTTCCCCCACCCCGCTCCAGACCTATAACATCACCCTGTAAAAGGTCATCCCCGACCTCACCCCAATTTCAGGTTAGTTTCCACTGAATCAATTATAGAACAGACTCGCCCTCATCCAACCCAGTGCTCAAGAGTCACAGCAGTCCTGATTTTCCTAACATTTTAGTCTCTCTCAAGCATTAAAAACATACTTTATTTGTAGTGATATCCTTGGGTTAAAGTGTACTCCTAACCGTGACAGCACCAATTCCTAGAGGCACAAAGTGTGGCATCCACTTCTGCTTACAGCAGTGCCGTAAGAGTAGATATTCTTAAGGGTTCTCTTGTTAAAATACAGCTTGAACCTAGAACATACTTTTTAATGCATTGCTTGCGCTTACTTGAAGAAATCACTAAGAATGTTCCCTACCCATATCCTACCCTTCTCTCTCAAAAAAGGACAGACAGAAAGAAAAAGGTCAATAAGCGAAATCCTGAGCAAGAAAAACAGGAAAGTGAGCAAATGGGAAAGGTACAGTTGTCCTGAACGCAAATGGAGTGTCAGGAGAATAAACCTCAGGCCCTCCAGCGGGATGGGGAGGCTGAATTTGAGAGTCCTTAATTGAACCTGGGACCCACTCTTTAGTAAAGGCGACAAAAGTAATGGTTACAGATCATTAATATGCCTGATTCCTGCAGAAGCAAGACCAGATCATCACTGGAGAACATATCCATCTTAGGCCCTCAGGATTCCAAAAGAACACATTCAAAGTAACTTGAGCTCACAATTAAAAAAAAAATACAAGGAAGCAAACCACTAGGATAGAGTAAATAATAACTGAAAACAACAGTTTTAGACCTTCGAGAATTTCAGATATTAAAAATAACAGTTAAAGGCTGGGCTTGGTGGCTCATGCCTATAAACCCAGCACTTGGCGAGACCAAGGTGGGAGGATCACTTGAGCTCAGGAGTTTAAGACCAGCCTGGGCAACATAGCAAGACCTCAGCTCTACTGAAAAAAAAAAAAAAAAAAAGAGCCAGGTGTGGTTGCAGGTACTGGTAGTCCCAGCTACTCAGGAAGCTGAGGTGAGAGGATCATTTGAGCCCAGGAGTTTGAGCCTGCAGTGAGCTATGATCATGCCACTGCACAGCCTGGATGACAGAGTGGGACACTGTTTTTTGTTTTGTTTTGTTTTAAAAAGCCTAGTTATGGAATTTAAAATGATTATGAAATACCTAAATATCTCAAAAGATGAAATGAAAATTTAAGCAAGGAATAAGAAATTATCCATATGGCCAGACAGACTGGAGAAATCAAATAAGAAAAATTTAATGTTTGAGGTACAAAACTCAATGGACAGTTTAAATAGCAGATTAGACAATGATGAAAAGCAAATTAATGAATCAAAACAGATCTAAAGAAATTACCCAGAGGCCAGATGCAGTGGCTCACACCTGTAATCCCAGCACTTTGGGAGGCTGAGGAGGGTGGATCATGAGGTCAGGAGTTCTAGACCATCCTGGCCAACATAGTGAAACCCCATCTCTACTAAAAATACAAAAGTTAGCTGAGCATGGTGACACATTCCTGTAACCCCAGCTACTCGGGAGGCTGAGGTAGGAGAATTGTTTTAACCAGGGAGTTGGAGGTTGCAGTGAGCTGAGATCGTGCCTCTGCACTCCAGCCTGGGCAACAGAGCAAGACGCTGTCTCAAAAAAAAAAAAAAAGCTGAATTAAAGAAGTTAAGTAAGGCCACATGGTGGTACATGCCTGTAACCCGTGTACTTTGGGAGGCCAGAATGGGAGTATTACTTGAGCTTAGGAGTTTTAGACCACCCTGGGAAACATGATGAGACCTTGTCTCTACAAAAAATTTAAAAATTAGCCAGGTGTGGTAGCATGCACCTGTGCTCACAGCTACTCAGGAAGCTGAAGTAGGAGGATTGCTTGAGCCCAGGAGGTTGAGACTGCAGTAAGCTGTGATCACACCACTGCACTCCAGCCTGGACAACACAGTGAGACCTTGTCTCAAAAAAAAATAAAATAAAAAGGAAGAGAGAAATGGATTGCCCAAGTTTTCATAGGTAGAATATACTCACGTGGAGGAATTCCAGCTCAGGCAGTCGGATTCTAGCACCTCTTACTATACTCTGTGTAGTTACTGTTTTGACCCATATGGGATCAGATACAAGGACTTTGAAAGGGGCCTACCTACAGCCTGTCTCCTAGTCATAAACTGAGGCAGGAGTTAGATGGTAAGGTGGTCAAGGCTAAAGTCTGTGGCCAGGGGCAGAGGTAATGAGGGCCTCAGCAGCCCTGTGCTCTGGCATATTCATACTATGCCATTTATTTAATATTGCTTATTTATGCCAGTGCAGTGGCTCACGCCTGTAATCCCACCACTTTGGGAGGCTGAGGCAGGTGGATCACGAGGTCAGTAGTTCGAGATCAACCTGACCAAGATGGTGGAAACTTGTATCTACTAAAAATACAAAAAAATGCCGGGCGCAGTGGCGCGTGCCTGTAGTCCCAGCTAGTTGGGAGGCTGAGGTGGGAGGATTGCTTGAGCCCAGGAGTTCTGGGCTGTCTGCACTAAGCCCAGAACTCCTGCACTAAGTTCAGCATCAATATGGTGACCTCCAGGGAGTAGAGGACCACCAGGTTGCTTAAGGAGGGGTGAACTGGCCCAGGTTGGAAACGGAGCAGGTCAAAACTCCCGTGCTGATCAGTAGTGGGATCATGCCTGTGAATAACCATTGCACTCCAGCCTGAGTAACACAGTGAGGCCCCATCTCTAAAAAAAAAATACAAAAAATTAGCCGGGGCATGGTGGCATACACCTGTAATACCAGCTACTCAGGAGGCTGAGGCAGAAGAATTGCTTGAACCCTGGAGGCGGAGGTTGCAGTAAGCCAAGATCATGCCACTGCACTCCAGCCTGGGTGACAGCGAGACTCTGTCTCGAAAAAGAATTTCTTATTTATTAATTATTTATTGATTAAATAGGAGGCTGGTCTCAAACTCCTGAGCTCAAGTGACTTGTCTGCCTCATGCTCCCAGAGCACTAGGCTTACTGGTGTAATCCACCATGCCCATCCAATATTGCATTTTTAAAACAACCAATATCCCCCTGTAATTGATATCAGTTCTACTATTTGTGAGGCATTATTTTCCTCAAAAACGAAATTGTCTTTGCAATGCCATCAGACAGAATTGGAGAGAGAAGGGGAGAAAAAACAACATATTGTCTTTTGGTCTGAGCTTATGTTCTAAATTTTTTTCTAGCTTGTTGCTGTTAAATGTCTTTCCTAAAATTATGGAGATCATAGATAGTAGTCAATTTTTAAAAATGTGTTTACTGGCTAAGTGCTATAGTTCATAGCTGTAATCCCAGTACTTTGGGAGGTGGAGGCAGGAGGGTCACTTGAGGCCAGGAATTGGAGACCAGCTTAGGCAACAGGGTGAGACTTCATCTCTATAAAAAACTAGAAAATTAGCTGGGTGTGATGGCATGCACCTGTAGTCCCAGCTACTTGGGAGGCTGAGGAGGCAGGATGACTTGAGCCCAGAAGTTCGAGGCTTCAGTGAGCTTTGATCATGTCACTGCATTCCAGTCTGGGTGACAGAGTGAGACCCTGTTTAAAAATGAAACAAACTAAGCACAAAATGTGTTTACTTACATAAATAAATAGTTGAACAACTTAGGTCAGTGATCTGTCTGTTAAAAAAAATTGTGTTTGTGTGTATTTTTTTTAAAGCCAGTGTCTTGCCCAGGTTAGAGTGCAGTGGCTATTCACAGTCATGATTACCATGCACAGCCTCAAACTCCTGGCCCCAAGAGATCCTCCCACCTCAGCCTCCTGAGTGGCTGGGCCTCCAGACACACACCACCACTACTGACAAAAAAAAAAATTAATTTGTCCATGATATCCAAAAGTTTGTGGACCACTGTGCCAGGCATTCTTCACTGAGTTAAAAACACAATGGTGAGTAATACAGCATTCTAATTTTGAATGTTGGCAATGGATACCAGCCTTGAATCCAAACGGGAGCCAGACTACCAAATAGGTACTGTGCTTTATCTTGATTGTGAATGTGAGAAAATGGACTTTTATGGGAGCTATGTTGCCCTAACAAAATAGGCTCTGAGACTGTCGAGGTCTCAAGTAAGCATTACTGATCACTGGTCAAAAAATTGCTCATGGAATCGAAAATAGAATGATAGTTACCAGGGGTTGGGGAGAGGGGAAAAGGGAAGTGGTTGGAAGTTGTTCTTTAATGGATATACAGTTTCAGTTTTGCAAAATGAAAAACGTGTGGAGATCTATTGTACAACAATGTGAATATACTTCACGCTATTAAACTGTATACTTAAAAATGATTTAAAAAATTTTTTTAAAAAATTAAGGCTCTGGGCAGTGGCTCATGCCTGTAATCCCAGCACTTTGGGAGGCTGAATTTGGCAGATCATGAGGTCAGTAGATCAAGACCATCCTGGCCAACATGGTGAAACCCCATCTGTACTAAAAATACAAAAATTAACTGTGTGTGGTGGCACACACCTCTAGTCCCAGCTACTTGGGAGGCTGAGGCAGGAGAATCACTTGAACCCAGGAGGCAGAGGTTGTAGTGAGTGGATATTGCACCACTGCACTCCAGCCTGGGAGACAAGGTGAGACTGTCTCAAAAAAAAAGGAAGAGTCTTGTTTTTTTTATAATTCCCAACTCCAGTCCCACTACCCTTAGATATTTACTTTTATCTAGAAATTGTTGTACCTACCAGCATGGATGCAGAGTAGGCTAGCATGTGGAAGTCCATTAGAGGGTGCCTTCAGGATCAACACCTGTGGGGGAAGTGAAGGAAGCAGGACTGGGCAGAGGGACAAGTTGGAGTCTGCTACTCTTTCAGCAGATGTTTCAGCCGACTCCATGGGGAGCTCTGAAGCTGGGCTAGCACTTCAGGGTCATCTGAGTCAAGGTGAGGTGGCCAGGCCTTTATACCCCAACATATCAGCTGCCCTGAGAAGTGACCCTGGGTGCTCGTGCTTGCGCGCGCACGCTCTCGCGCTCCCTCTCTCTCTCTCTCTCTCTCTCTCGCTGTTGTTACCCAGACTGGAGTGCAATGGCACGCTCTCAGCTCACTGCAACCTCCGCCTTCTGGGTTCAACCAGTTCTCCTGCCTCAGCCTCCCGAGTAGCTGGGACCACAGGCGTGCACCACCATGCCCAGCTAATTTTTGTATTTTTAGCAGAGATGGGGTTTCATCTTGTTGGCCAGGATGGTCTCGATCTCTTGACCTCATGATCCACCCGCCTCGGCCTCCCAAAGTGCTGGGATTATAGGTGTGAGCCACCACGCCCGGCCTTAAATTTTTAATAGAGATGGGATTTCACCAGATTGGCCAGACTGGTCTTAAACTCCTGACTTCATGTGATCTGTTTGCCTTGGCCTCCCAAAGTGCTGGGATGATGTTCACTTTTCTGATTTTCTGATGATCTTGGGAATATCCCATCTATATAAGTACGTATTTATTTCTTATGTAAGTCAATCAAAAAAATACTCCTTTAATTTAAAAGACTTCATAATGTAATATTTTGATACCCCCGGGAGATAGGAAAACATCCAGTTACAAAGAAAGGTACAGTCTTTTGTAAGTTATGCCACATAGATGTACATATACATAGTGAGCTTAAAGCTTTGGTTCTAGGTTAGCCACAGGTTAGCCATTGATAAAGAAATACCAAAACACCCTGAACTAGACATCAAAGAGCTGTTCTCCTTCCTGGTGAGCTTGAAATTCTTGATTGGTTTGGCTCAAAATAGACAGATAGATAAACAAAAAAGATGAATCAAATTATACATGTTCACTTCAGTCAAGGAAAAAATAGATAAGACCAGGTATAGTGGCATACACCTATAGTCCCAGGCTTGAGGGTTGCTCGAGCCCAGGAGTTTGAGGTCAGCCTGGGCAACATAGTGAGATCCTCTGGAGAAAAAAAAGAAAAGAAAACAGATATTTAGAATCTCTTAACCCAATTTTGGAGACCACCAAATGCTCATACATTAAAACCAACTTCCTAATCTTTTCTGACCCCGATGGGAAATAATTTATCAACCATAAAAGGCGTACATACATATACACACAGACGATAGCAAGGAAAATAAACTAGAGAAATGGAGAGTTATCAAAGTTAAATTTCTATTATCACTTGGTGTTTATCTCCAGGACCTAAGAAAATATGTGCCTGGACTCAAGTCACTTACTGGTTACAATTTCCTGGCAATGTAGTTTACTTGCCTCTGTCAGGTGAATTCATTGGGCGTCTTGGTAGAAGATCTCCAAAAAGATAATTCTTAAAAAAGGTAAAATAATGACTCCAGTATATATGTAAAATGAACAGATATCTAAGATTTTACTTAACCCATTTATTAATGAAGGAACCAGTAAGCTATCACAACCAGTTTCTTGTTTTCTATAATTAAAATATTATAAAGCCATTGTATAATGATATTACAAAGCCACTGTCATCTTATAAAGCCATTGTATATGATATTATAAAGCCATTGTATATGATATTATAAAGCCATTTTCACAGGCAAAAAATTGTAAGAAAAAATATTGTAGTGGTATGTCAGGCAGTTAAATGTTATGGTATTTGTTAACTTCAAACTTTTTTGCATTGTTTTTATGAATACAAATTTTGTACTCAAAATTTTGTATTATTTTCTTTAAATAACCCCTCTCCCTAAATTGTATAAGCTTTAGGCGTCACAAAACCTCCTAAAAAGAAGCAAGGCAATCTGTGGAGGTGGAAGTAGAGATGGGGGTCAGGGGCAGTATGGTGCAGGTTCCTACTTCAGAATTTAGAGAGTGAGAAAAGTTTGGAGTAATGATTGCAGAACTAGGCTGGAGAGTCACCAAGGAAAAGAGTGAAGTGGAGAGCTGTCAGGGGGTCCAGCTGAGGTTGCATGGTGCATTTTCATTTTTTTTTTTTTTTTTTTTTTTGAGATTGAATCTAGCTCTGTCACCCAGTGGTGTGATCTCGGCTCACTGCAACCTCCGTCTCCCAGGTTCAAGCCTTCCTCAGGCTCCCAAGTAGCTGGAACTATAGGCATGTGCCATCATACCTGGATAATTTTTGTATTTTTGGTAGAGATGGGGTTTCACTGTGTTGGTCAGGCTGGTCTCAAAATCCTGATCTCAAGTGATCCACCTGCCTCGGCCTTTAAAAATTCTGTGATTACAGGAGTGAGCCACCTGGCCTGCATCTTCATTTTTTATGTGAAGAACATGGGGAAGGGAATCTCTCCTAAATACCATGGTACCATTTAGATTTTGGGTGAGCAGTGAGGATCATTGTCAGATTTAAGATTTAAACAATGGATCTGACAGGTGAAGGAATAGCTAACTTCTCTTGCAGAATCTCATTAACCCTTTGATGACTTACTAACATGTGATCTCACTTTTCATTGGGCCTTTGCCTTGTTCACCACTGATTTATCTCTTGTTGACACACCTGACCTTATGGTGTTGGGATTCATACACATGTATGCATAGCCTCCTCCATGGGGACAGGTCTCTTTTCCCTCTTGGGGTAGGGTGAAGGCAGACTTACGATCTGGCCTCAACTAGTGTTCTTAATGCAATCTCAGTAGTTGGGGAAGCTTCTCTTTGCTTGTGCAGTATTTCATTAAATGTTTGGCCACAGAGCTGAAGTGTGGACGCTGGTGAGTGGAGAGGAAACTGTGGCCTGGCCTTTGCTTTGGGGCAGGGCTTTCCCTAATTTCTAGGAAACTAACACTGTGGATGGCCAAGTGGATGAGTAGTCTCTGAAATCAGTGGGGAGTTGCTGCTTCAACATTGCAACCAATGAATGCTGATGGCCAAACTCACAATCCACCCTAATACTAACACATCACTCAAGAAGGTAAACTGACTAATTAGGATAGCTGGGGCACAGGAGAAATTTTATAAATGTTGATTAATTTGAGGCTTCCTTCCAATTCTTTTTGTAATATCTTGTTGTTTTCTTTACTAGAGAGTGCAGAACATAAGCTACTCTCCTCAGTAAACACAGGCCCATGATAACTTGACAGAAAAGGAGTGGAGGATGTGAACTGGATAGATATGGGATAAAGTAATAAAAGGTAGTTAACATTTAGTCAGTAGTTAATGTGTGCCAGACATTGTAATAACTTGCATATCTAATTAACGTATGTCTTTTGCCACTTAATTTTCACAATAGCATGAGGCAGATACTACCTGATCTCCATTTTGTACAGGAGAAAACGGAGTCTTAGAGAAGCTTAATTACTTGTCAATGTCACACAGTTAGTAAGTGTCAGAGCTGGGATGCAAACATAAGTATGTTTGACTCTGAATCCCATGCTTTTTATACCCATGAGATGCTGGGAACTCAGATAAAGGTGAGAGTGGGTGGTTATGGGTAGAGAATAGTAGTATGTTTGAGGAAGAATAACTGGTCATTGCCAGGATGAAGCAACAGATTATCTCCTGGTGACAGTTTGAAACCATATTGCAAGTAATTTATGCTACTAATAATTTGTTGTTACTAATAACGGATTATTTGTGAGTGACTTACATAAAAATAAATCGGAGAAAATATAATGTCACTTTTACCTGGATTATGATGTGTTTCTCTTTAAGTGAGAGGGAAGGAAGTTGAGTTACAGAGGGTTAAATCCCACGTGTATGTCCTGTGCTAGTGAAGTGACACCAGGTATATATCAACTGTTATGGGAATGACGTGCAAATAAGGTAAGAATTACTAGACTGAGGATGTTATGCATGGCAGATGTTAACAACCCTCATGAATGTTGCTCACAAATCTCTTCTCCTTTGGCTCGTAGGGTCTTTGAATAGAGGTGGGGGGATGTTTGTATCTGGGAGCAAACCTCTATTAAAGTAGACACAGAGATCAGAAGCAACCAAGTCAAAGCTGCTTCCCACCAAGCTGTGTGGTCCTGGGTAAGTCACAACTTTTCTCAGCCTTAGTTCTCCTATCTTTAAAAATGCAGGGCGGATGTATATGTGGTATACCTAATTGACAGGCTTATTGTGAGAATTAAATGATATCGTTAGTTTAGCTGTGATTACTATTTTGAGAGTTTTGATAGCAAGCAAAACCTCTAGTCTTCGTGGGCCAAGGGCTCTGGAAGATGGCATCTTAACAGCAAATTGAAGCCTGTAAATCCTAAGACTTTCCCCCATCCCTCCCACATATACTCTCAGTGACCCCACCACCCCCTCCAAGGACCAAGCCTCTGCCTCTTAAGTGCTTAAACACACAAATCTCCAAACAAAAACTATTAGGAAACGTTTTAGAGAAGTGGAGACCCTTGATACAACTGCACCCCATTTTTGGCAACATGTTGGTAGGATGTTTGAGAATTAGTTCTAAGAGTCATTACTGTTCCCCTAAATGGAATTTTTCCTGGAAGGCCATAAAAATAGAAGAGATTAAAATTTTTACTAGATTGATCAGGTTACGCACATCCTCTGGCCCAAAACATTACAAACAAGAAAACAATAAAAGGCATTTATACAGTCTTTTTGCCAGGGGTCACCTCAACACATCATAAAACATTAGTTCATGACAAGTGAGAGATTGGAATCAGCTGTGCACATAAACTAGTGCTCATCTGCAGGCTGTGCGTTCAGGGCAGGAGAAAACTTGAAGGACATGTGGGGTTGTATAAACAGGCTTTGTGAATCAGCGAGACCGTACTCCCCGCCCAGCCTCTCCTTCCAGACTGCTTGGCTGTTCCAGTGCCCTCCTCCCAAGGAAAATTGGATTTTAGTTTGTTTATGACTGCCTTGAATTGCTCTGAACATCTCAGGCCCCATCTTTTCCTGAAGGCATCCAAGATAGAGGCATGACATTTTACCTAGCGCCTGAAATCGTTAAAATTCAGTCTTTGAAAAGATAAAGCTGGAAGAATGATGTTATCAATAAAAACAGTGCTTTCCTGTGGTAGAAATGGAAAAATTTGGTTGGCGATAATATTTCAGATGTCACTTAAGTTTGTTGACTCTTATTCACAGTTATCCCCTGTGACTGGATGGGGAGCAGGGTGAAGAGGGATCTGGCTTCCATTGCACCTGACACTCTGCCAATATTTTATCACAGGATTTGCCTCCCCCATTCAGACCATAAATCTACTGAGTGACTGATGTATTAGGGTTCAATAAATGTTTGCCTTAATATACTTGACCTGAATGAGCTGATTAATTTCCCTAGATTTAAAAATCATCCTTTCATTGATATACTTTCATCCCAAGTTATTATTTCTCCTTGACAGTTTTCTACCACACATATTCATTAATCTCTCACAGAAATCTCAAAGTCAAAATGTATCTCAAATTCTTCTATTTTGTTTCATTACCTTAGCCTAATGCCAGCATCATCAGTCACTTGGACATCATTAGTCTCCAAAATGATGTTTGTATTCTTTCCCCCCACCAACCCATTCTCCCATTCTCTATATAATAGTTTTTTTTTTTTTTTATCCACACTCTAATTCACTTCCTACCTCCCTGTATTAGTTTTAGGCAAATCCCAGACATTAAATTTTTTTTATCAAGAACTATTATACTCAATATATGTGTGTATGTATGTAGATCATATAATGTGTAATTGTATGTGTACATAAATACACATACAGACACAAATATACACGCTTCTTTTTTGCTAAACATAACCACAATAGTGTTATCATACTTAAAAATGTAGTGCTTTTTTAAAATATCATCAAATATTTTTGAATCAGTGTTCAAGTTCTCAATTACATCATAAATAGCATAATTTTGACAGTTTTTAAAATATGAAGATTTGAATAAGATCAATGCATTGTGATTCATTATATTTCATAAATCTATTTTAATATCTAAGTCCCCCCAACTTCTTTTTTCCATTACAATTTATTTGTCAAGGAACTGAATTGTTTCTCCTGAATGTCTCACAGCCTGGAGTTTGCTTATCACATCTCTGTGGCATATTTTAACATGTTTCTTTGTCTTCAGTATTTCTTATAGATTGGTTGATGGCTTTAGAGGCTAGATTTAGAGATTTGATTCAGGTTTTATTTTTTTTTGAGGAGGTGACTACTTCATAGGTGGCATTGTATTCTCCCATGCTGATATCTGGATATCCCTCACTTTGTGATATTAGCAGATATTAATTAGATGCCTAGATGCATTACTTCATTAGCTGTTATAAAACAATGATACTCAGATTTTTTCATTCTTTCTTTGTGAATCAGAGGGATTATTATATATTTATAAAGAAAAATATCCTAGATGCATTACTTTATTAGCTGTTATGAAACAATGATATTCAGATTTTTTTCATTCTTTCTTTCTGAATTAGATGGATTAATATACATCTACAAAGAAAAATATCCTCTCATCTACTATTTGGAAAGCAATGTTACTAAAATGAAAATTAGAATTTTCTGGCTTTGGTAATAACCCTTCCTCTAAAGACAACTATAAAGCTGGGAAGGAAAAGTAGTCTTAAAAGGAACAATAAGGAAAAACAACAGTAAAGAATTATGAAATTGTGGTCAGCTTGAGAAAGATAGGCAGCTTCAGTGGCTTCTTCCCTGAGGGCGTTCAAAGACTAGGGCTAGGTTACACTTTTGGCAGGTTAGTGTAGGAAGGAGATACAAGTTGGAGGCAGGAGGTTAAGACCTTGAGGGTTTCACCATTTAAAAATATTTTTATGCTGGGTAAATATTCCTATTCCAGGGAAAAGGATGAAAGGTAGAGTCACACACTACCTTGGTAGGGACAAGGATAAGAGTCCAGTGCCTGTTAATGATGAGAAAATTGTTGAAACACTCCCTGCTCAGGACTCAGACCTCAAAGGAATACTGCTTTGTGTCTAATGTTTATGTCCCTTTCCCAATTTATGTGTTGAAATCTTGACTCCAAATCCATCACATTTGATGATATTGGAAGGTGGGTGTATTAGTTCATTCTTGCATTGCTATAAAGAAATACCCAAGAGTGGTTAACTTATAAAGAAAAGAGGCTTAATTGGCTCACAGTTCTGCAGGCTATACAAGAAGCATGATGCTGGCATCTGCTTGGCTTCTGGGGAGACCTCAGAAAACTTACAATCATGACAGAAGGCAAAGGGGGAGCAGGAGCAAGAGAGCATGAGGGGGAGGTGCTACACACTTTTAAACAAGCAGATCCCACAGTAATTCACTCACTATAATGAGACCAGTTCCAAGAGGTTGGTGGTAAATCATTCATGAGAAACCAACCCCAGATTCAATCATCTCCCACCAGGTCCCATCACTGACATTGGAGGTTACAATTTGACATAAGATTTGGATGGGTACAAAGATCCAGACCGTATCAGTGAAGCTGTTGGGAGATAATTAGGTCATAAGGATGGAGCCCTCAGGAAAGGGATTAATGCCCTTATGAGAAGTTTGCTCTCTCCCTGCTCTCTACCATGTGAAGACAAGTAGGAAGATGGCTATCAGCAAACCAGGAAGAGTGCCTTCATCAGACTCTGGATCTATCAGAACCTTGACCTGGATTGTTTTAGCCTCAAGAACTGTGAGAAATAAATAATTGTTGTTTAAGCCACCTAGTCTATGGGTAATTTGTTATAGCAGTCCAAATTGACTTAGACATGTGCCCTGGGTATGAGGATAGGGATTATATCTTGGTATGTCATCTTGGTATGTCATCTTGGTGACTCAGAAAACCTTGGGTCTCATCAGGTACCTGGTAGAAGGGAAAAAAGTCTCTCTGAAGGAAAATAAGACCATCTAAGGCTTCAAACTGTTTCTATTAATAAGTTAAAAATGGTCTGAAAACTATGAAAAACAATGAGATACAACAAGAGATAAAACAACGTAAACCAGAACCAAGAGAACTACCAACAAGTAGTTCAAAAGAGACATCAGATACTGAAATAAAGCTGGGTGTGGTGGCTCATGCTTTTAATCTCAGCACTTTGAGAGGCCGAGGTGGATGGATCACCTGAGGTCAGGAGTTCAAGACTAGCTTAGGCAACATGATGAAACTGTCTCTACTAAAAATACAAAATTGTCCAGGTATGTTGGTACATGCCTGTAATCCTAGCTATTTGGGAGGCTGAGGTAGGAGAATCACTTGAACCTGGGAAGTGGAGGTTGCAGTGAGTCAAGATCATGCCAGTGCACTCCAGCCTAGGCAATTAAGTGAGACTCAATTTCAAATAAATAAATAAAAGATACTGAAATTATCCAATATAAATTGCAGAACCACTATGCTTACTACATTCATAGAGATAAAATCAGAGCTTAAAAATCTCAGCAGGAAGCTAGGTACTATAGAATGACACTAAATGTTTTCCTCCTAATACCAGGAACTAGAAAAGGATATATGCTGTTGTCCCTTCTATTTAACATTGTACTAGAGGTTCTACCCAGGCAATTAGGATAAATAAAAAAATAAACCAGATGAAACAAAAGAAAACCCCTCCTGTTCACAAATTGGAATACTTAATATTGTTAAGATGGTAATACTTCTTAACAACATTGCAGCTATTTTTATTTTTGCAGAAATGAACAAGCTGATCCTAAAATTTATATGGAAATGCAAGAGATCCAGAATATACAGACCAATCTTGAAAAAGAAAAAAGTTAGAGAGCTATCACTTCCTGATTTTAAAACATACTACACAACTACAGTAATCAAGACACTGTTGTACTGGCACAAAGATAGACAAGTAGATCAATAGAATAGAATTGACAATACATAAAAAATACTTTATGGTAAATCGGTTTTCGATAAGGGTGTCAAGACAATTCATTGGTGAAAAATAGTCTTTTTAAAAAAGACTATTGCTGGGACAATTGGATATCCACATGCAAAAAATGAATTTGAGACAAAGATCTCACTTTGTTGCCCAGGCTGATCTTGAACTCCTGGCCTTGAACAATCCTCCTGCCTTGGCCTCCAAAAGTGCTGGGATCACAGGTGTAAATCACACCTGGACTCTTTTCTCATTCTTAATAAACTTACTTTTCTGCCTAATTTTGTATTCAGAATTCTATATTCTTTTGCTTATCTTCATCACAGTTTTTGATTCTTCCTAGTACTTACCGTGATTTAAAATTATTTTGTTGTTATTATTTGCTTTCTTTTTTAGGGGAGTGGGTGAGAACTTACTTTCATTTTAGAATGTAAGCCTTCTGAAAGCACTGAAAATGTATTGCTTACCATTCTATTTCCAGAACTTATAAAAATGTTGGATGAATAAATGTAGAGGAGTGAATAAAGAATAATGGAGAAAGGGGGACTATGGAACTAGCACACATGTTCTCAGGGCAGGTATAAACGGGTGATGAATCTGGGGCCAAAGTAAAAGGCATAGACTTAGATAAAGGGTGACTCCAGGCAGGGAAATAAGATAGTCATTAAGATTCAGAGGGGGGATGACCCCATGCTCAGGGCAGATTTTGGGCAGCACAGAGGGAACAAGAGAAGTGGGATGAGCCTCATGCAGGGGCCAATTGTGACTGCCTAAGGCTAGTGCTGTTTTCCCATAAGTGGATATTTCCATTCCCAGCCTCTGAAGTGATGAGAATCATGTTCTGAAAACTCACTAAAAGCAAAGCCCTTCTATTTTTTCCAGCACTAGCTTTTGCCTGAAGTCATTACCTATAAAAGACAGCATGTGGACATGATATTTTTAAGGACTTTTCTGGTTTTAACATTTTATTTTTTTCTGGCTTTTTTTTTTTCCCTCAGACCTTTGTTCTCTGAATCATGTAAGCTGGAAATCTGTCATTCTTGATGTTCCCTCTGTCCCTTCACTTTTCCAAAGTTTTATTGATAAATCTTTCTGTTTCCTCTTATTGATTCCAATTTTAGTCTCCATGTTTCAGAATTAATCAACTCCTACTTTTAAGTAATCTATCTGGTTCTAGTGCAGTCTCCTCCTCACTTTCCTGGTGTTTGGTTTATCTTTCAAGTCCCCGTCTTGTTCCTCATCCGAGTATTAAAACACATTTAAGACTATCCCAATGTCTCAGAATAGAGTCTGAATTCTCTTATTGGTCCTTTTTTTGATAGTAATTTTTCTGGGTTAACTATTTGTGTATATTTATGTGGTACATGGGATATTTTGATACAGGTATGCCATGCATAATAATCACACCATGGAGAATGGGGTGTGCATCCACTCAAGCATTTATCTTTTGTGTTATAAACAATCCAATTATGTTCTTTTCATTATTTTAAAATGTACAATTATTATTGACTATAGTCATCCTGTTGTGCCGATTCATTCTTTCTATTTTTCATTCATTCTTCCTGAAGTTATATATTGACTATAGTCATCCTGTTGTGCTATTATTCATTCTTTATATTGTTTTGTACCCATTGACCATGCCCACTTCTCCCCCAAGCCCCCACTACTCTTCTCAGCCTCTGTTAACCATCCTTCTACTCTCTATCTCCAAGAGTACAATTGTTTTGATTTTTATATTCCACAAATAATTCTCTGCTTGATCTTGAAGGGCTCCCGGATTTCTGTCTCAATCTACCATCCAGCTTTATCTCCTACTACTTCCCTGAAAAAAAACTTCTGCTCCCTCAAACTGGTTTAGAGGGCTAAAATCATCAAAAGTATGGCAATCAAAAGGATCACACGAAGTTCTTTCCTCCTTGTAATGCCCTATTCATCATCTCCTATCAGGGATCTTATATTAGTCCGTTCTTGCACTGCTATAAAGAAAAAACTGAGACTGGGTAATTTATAAAGAAAAAAGGTTAAATTGGCTCCTAATAGGCTGTATGTACAGGATGCATGACAGCTTCTGGGGAGACCTCAGGAAACTTTCAATTATGGTGGAAAGCAAAGGGAAAGCAGGCATGTCTTACATGACTGGAACAGGAGAAAGAGAGAGAGCAGGGAGGTATCACACACTTTTTAAACAACTAGATCTTATGAGAACTCCCTCACTATCAGCATCTGTGATTTGATTTATCACCTCCCACAAGGCCCCACCTCCAATATTGGGAATAACAATTAGGCACGAGAATTGAGTCAGGGCACAGATGCAAACCATATTATTACTCCTCTGACATCTCCCAAATCTCATGTCCTCTTACATTGCAAAATACAATCATGCCTTTCCAATAGTTCTCCAAAGTCTTAATTCATTCCAGCATTAACTCAAAAGTCCAAAGTTTCATCTGAGACAAGCCTAGTCTCTTCTGCCTATGAGCCTGTAAAATAAAAAACAACTTAGTTACTTCCAGGATACAAAGGAAGTATAGGCATTGGGTAAATACTTCTATTCCGAAAGGATAAATTGGCCAAAACAAAGGAGCTACAGGCCCCATGCAGTTCAAAACTCAACAGGGCAGTCATTAAATCTTAAAGCTCCAAAATAATCTACTTTGAGTTTGTGTCTCACATTCAGGGCACAGCGATGCAAGGGGTGGGCTCCTGAAACCTTGGGCAGCTCCTTCCCTGAGGCTTTGCAGGGTGTAGCCCTCATAGCTGCTTGCATAGGCTGGTGTTGGGTGCCTGCCACTTTTCCAGGTACATGGTGCAAGCTGTCAGTGAATCTACCATTCTGGCATCCTGATCTGGAAGATGGTGGCACTCTTTTCACAGCTTCACTAGGCAGTGCCCCAATGGGGACTGTGTGTTGGGATTCCAACCCTTCATTTCCCCTCCATACTGCCCTAGTAGAGGTTCTCTATGAGGGTCTTCACCTGTAGCAGCCTTCTGCCTTGATGTCTAGGCTTTTCCATACATCCCCTGAAATCTAGGTGGAGGATCCCAAGCCTCAACTCTCATACTCTGTGCATCTGCAGGCTTAACACCATGTGAAAGCTGCCAAGGCTTACAGTTTGCACTCTCTGAAGCAGTGGCCCAAGCTCTACCTTGGCCCCTTTTAGCCACAGCTGGAGGTGGAGTGGCTGGGATGTAGGGCACCATGTCCTGAGGCTGCACAGAGCAGCGGGGCTCTGGGCATGGCTCACAAAACCATGATTTCCTCTTAGACCTCCAGGCCTGTGATGAGAAAAGCTGCTGCAGAGGTCTTTGAAATGAATGCCTTTGAGGTCTTTCCCCATTGGCTTGGCTATTAACAGTAGACTCCTCTTTACTTATGCAAATGTTTGCAGCCTGCTTGAATTCCTCTCCTGAAAATGGGTTTTTCTTTTCTATTGCATGGTCAAGCTGCAAATTTTCCAAACTTTTTTTTTTTTTGAGACAGAGTTTCGCTCTTGTTACCCAGGCTGGAGTGCAATGGCGCAATATCGGCTCACCGCAACCTCTGCCTCCTGGGTTCAAGCAATTCTCCTGCCTCAGCCTCCTGAGTAGCTGGGATTACAGGCACGCACCACCATGCCCAGCTAATTTTTTGTATCTTTAGTAGAGACGGGTTTCACCATGTTGACCAGGATGGTCTCGATCTCTTGACCTCGTGATCCACCCGCCTCGGCCTCCCAAAGTGCTGGGATTACAGGCTTGAGCCATCGCGCCTGGCCATAAATTTTCCAAACTTTTATGTTCTGCTTCCCTTTTAAATATTAGTTCCAGTTTTAGATAGTTTCTTTGCTCATGCATATAAGCATAGACTTTCAGAAGCAGTCAGGCCACATTTTGAACACTTTGCTGCTTAAAAATTTCTTTTGCCAGATACCCTAAATCTTCTCTCTCAAGTTCAGAGTTCCACAGATCCTTAGAGCAGGGGCATAATGCTGCCAGTGTCTTTGCTAAAGCATAGCAAGAGTGACCTTTACTCCAGTTCCCAATAAGTTTCTCATTTCCCTCTGAGACCATCTCAGTCTGGACTTCACTATCCATATCACTGTTAGCAGTTTGTTCACAACCATTCAACAAGTTTCTAAGAAGTTCCAAACTTTTTCTTATTTTCCTGTCTTCTTTTGACCCCTTCAAACTCTTTCAACCTCTACCCATTACTGTTTCAAAGCTGCTTCTACATTTTCTGGAATCTTTATAGCAATGTTCCACTCCTGTATCAATTTTCTGCATTGGTTTATTCTTTCACTGCTATAAGGAAATATTTGAGAGTGGGAATTTTATAAAGAAAAGAGGTTTAATTGGCTTACAGTTCTGCAGGCTGTATAGGAAGCATCATGGCTTCTGGCGAGGCCTCAGGAAACCTTCAATTATGGCAAAAGGCAAGGGGAAAGCAAGCACATATTACATGGCTGGAGCAGGAGAAAGAGGGATGTGGGGAGGTACCATATACTTTTAAACAACCAGATCTTGAGAGAACTCACTTGCTATCGTGAAAAGAACACCCAGGGGGAAATATTGTGCCCATGATCTAATCACATCTTACCAGGTCATAACTCATAGCATTGAGAATTACAATCCAACAAGAGATTTGAGTGAGGACACAGATTCAAACCATATCATATCTTTTAAATCTTACTTTCTAAAATAATACATGGCCTCCTGCATGCTGATGTGGCATCAATTATTTATATAGTGCTTGACATAAGTTACCTTCTTTTATTTACAATTCCCTGACCTCAAGTTCTTCTATAACATAAAGCAATTAGTAGAGATAATTTTTAAGTTTCCCTCTAACCATAACAGTCTATAGTGTGCTAATTTCCTTGTGTGTATGTACACACACACACACACACACACACACACACACAGAGATTAGCAAACTATATATATATATATATATATATATCTTTTCTCTCCATTTTGATTGCAATGTCTTTCAATTTACCACATTTTATTGAAATTATACTATACGTCCACATTTGTGTTAGGCTCTGTTAGGTAGTGCAAAAATGAGTAAGAGAGAGTTCTGTATTCCCAGAGGCTTATAATTATATATAAGAATGGGGGTGGGGAAGACAGAAAGAAAGCAGAGATAGATTTACTCACACAAAACTATTATATCAGACAAATTAAGAGGGTTATATTGAAGAATTACAAGGTAGGAAGAAGGAGGAGAGAGTGAGAGGTTAATTTTGACTGGGAACATCTGGAGAGATGTGATGGAGCTGAATTTTGGTTGCTGTGTAAGGCTTTAAAAGTAGACATGGAGTTTTGAGGAAGGAAGGTGAAGAAAAGATGATGATAATAAGGGTATAAGCATAAAGCAGAAGAATACAGGGAGGGTCCCAGAAATGGTATGGACTCCACTATGGCCAAAATGCAGAGGACATGGAGAATTAATTGTCTGAGATTAGATTGTTAAAGACCCTGTATCATAGGCTAAGTCATTTGGATTTTATTTGTTGCAGCATTATTGAAGATTTATTGAACAGCACCATGATGTAAGTATTACTGCCTGTTGGCAAAGTGAAGAGAAAAGATTAAACAGAAGTATATAAGCTTGGAAGGGAGACAGGGTCAAGACGCATGCACACACACATTTATTGGTCCTGGATTTGCCTTTCTGACTCTGAGTGAGAGTGGAGGTGTGTTGGGTAGAGAAACATGGTGATAGAGAATTCCATGGGGTGCCACTCTCTACATGGTGGAAAAGGTGGTGGGAGGCCCACCTGATCCATTCTTCTACCAGGGTGCTGTAGCACAGAGGCATTTCCAGATCTCCTGCTTTTGACAACCTCTCCAATAATCCAGGGCTCTCAGGGACTCAACACTTCTGGAACTAATAGAAAGGAGGTGAGATTTAAAATTTATCTGATATATTGAGGAGTGTGTGTATGTGTGAGTGTGTGTGTGTGTGTGTGTAGGAAAATTCAATCGACAGGAGTTGGAAGGTCTCTTCTTTTGTCTTTTGAATGTTCCTGTTATGTTTCTGTCTCTTGGATGACTTTGATTAATTCTCTGGTTCTTGTTTTGCTGCCCACCTCCAAAGTGTTCCACCATCAGCCTCTTCTCTTCCTGTTTCAAATGTTTTGTTTGGTGGCCTCCATGGTTTTGATTTAAATTTATAGAGTGATGAACCTAGATCTTTATCTTTAGATAAAAACCAGAGCTAGAGGCTTTCAAACATAAGGATTTCTTCTGAGACTGAAATTAATAACAGTAAAAAAATTAGTTCTTTAGAAAATGACGTTGAAATGTCAGCACGATGGTAGAATAAGAGGTTCCAGCCCTCATCCCCTGACAGAAACACTGATTTGACAACCATCTGCAGATGAAAATACCTTGTGGGAGCTCTGCAACCCAGTTGAGAGGTTCCAGAGCTCCAGTTAATCACAAAACCTGAGATCAGCAGGTTGAAAAGAGTAGGAAGAGTAGTTTCACTTTGCCCATATCATGCCAAAGACTGCCTCTGGCACATAACTTCACCCTCAGGTGAAGAAGAAAATAAAGTGAAGGTCTGGATTCCCCAATAGAGATGCCTGTTTCTGTCATTTCCAGACTGCTAAGACAATCAGTACAGCTGGGTCATCTATGGAGAGCAAAGACAAAGAAAACAGCCAGGGCTCCCAGCAAGCAGCATGTGTGTCACTGCAGACGCATCCTGTGTACTTCCGCAGACAAGCTCCTACATGCCTCCATAGCTGATGTCTTGTGTGACCCCACAGATAGAACCCTGTATACTCCTGTAGATGGTGCCGCACAGCTAGCACTGTGCTCCCCAAGAAGTCACTCAGTGCATCCACACATATAGCACTCAATGCATTCCTGAACTTTGTATCCTGTGCATCCTCAAAGTTGGCATTTTGTGTGCCCTCAAAGCCAGCACCTATTGCACTTCTGCAGCCAGCATCCTACATGCCCCCATGAATGGTCCTCTATTTGCCTCTGCATCTGGTGCTCCATGTGTCCCTGTAGAGGGATCTCAGAAGCTAGAAGTATCTTAGCAACAGGTTTGACATAGGTGTCATGCTTCTCTGATTATTCATGATTCTTGTAGCCTTACATTGATGCTTCCCTCTTGAAGAAGCAGTTACCTCTTCCAGCCTTTACAGACAAACTGAATTAAAAAAGGAATGACCTTCATGAGACAACCTGGCTACAGATTCTAGAGGTCTCTCAAATCTCAATGGATGTACCCCCTATACTGTTTTTGCTCCCTATTAAGGAGAGATAAGGCTTATGTTTGCACGCTTTTTCTTAATCCCACAATGTCATGTTAGGTGCTAAGAGTCATCCATTTCTTTTCCCTAGGGTAGTACCCTTATATGCCAAGACACTAGATGAAAGCTCTGTTTCTCTCCTTCTCCAGCAAAGGGGATGTTTCAAAATTGCATGCCTTCCCTAAATCCTGCAGTCGAGTCTGGCTTCAGGGGCACCTAAAGTGTGCCATTTTATTGGCCCTTTTATTGTTATATAGTGATCACGAAACTCCCGGAACTGACAACCCCCACCCCATCAAATGAAATCTATAAATGTCCTGAGAATTCAAAATATCATCCTAAAGAAACTTAGTAAGCTATAAGAGAACAACTATATAGATGACTAAATCAAATTAGGAAAAAATACATGAACAAAACAAGAAGTTCAATAAAGAGATAGAAACCGTAAAAAAGAGCTGAACAAATTTTGGAGCTAAAGAATACAATGACCAAATAGAAAAATTCAGTAGAGAGCTTCAATAGCAGACTGATCTAGTAAAAGAAAGAATCAGCTAACTTTCTTAAAGACAGGTGATTTGAAATTATCCAATCAGAGGGGCAAAAAAAAAAAAAAAAAGAATAAAAAGTAGCAATGAAAGCTCACAGGACTTATGGGACACCACAAAGCAAACCAATTGCACATTATGGGAATATCAGAGAAAAGAAAGTGAAAGGGGAAGAAGGCTCATTTAAACAAATAATGCCTGAAAAATTTCCAAATCTAGGGAGGGAAATGGACATCCAAATTCATGAAGCTCTAATGACCCAAATAGGTTGAACCTTAAGAAATCTACACCAAGAGACATTGTACTTAAATTATCAAAAGTTAAAGACAGAATTTTGAAAACATCAAAAGTGACTCATCACGTACAAGAAAATCTCATAAGAATACTGATGAGGTGCCAAAGTTCAGCCGGCTGCCGCTCGAGTAGCCACGGGCGCGATCCCAACCAGAAGTCTCCTCCATGACCACTTTGGAAGCTGGGGGAAGATGTTAATGGTGACATCAATAGCATAAAATGTGGATGAGGGACACAAGTAGTTTTTGTACATGAATGAATGAAAGATGTCATCAGCTTAAAATGACAGCTCCCAGCCGACTACCAGAAATTACCCTGAGCTCAACAACAATCAGTACAACAGAAGCAGCAACAGCAATGGGGGCAACCTGAACAGCCCCCGGGCCCCCAAAGCGCCAAGACAGCGGAGCACAGCACCATCCTTCAACCCCCCTACACTGGGCTTTCTTCTTCAGCAAGATTGCTGAGCCATTCTATCCCTTCCCTTTAGCCTGAATCTGTTCATAACTAAGGCCTTGCTGCTCCAGTGAAAGCTGTTCTTCTCTTAGACACAGTTTCTTCATCTGGACGAGCAGTGGAGGGGAAAGCAACTTTGTGCTGGAAGAATATCTCTGCCTTCTTACCTTAACTTAAAGAGAGCACTTAGATAACACCTTCAAGAGACATGAAAACAGAAAACTGGTTAATGACTACTATAAGTGCACTGAAACTATGTTTATGGAGATTTCCATACTTTTAAAGACAGTTTTAATGTTGAATTTGGTATTTTGAAAGGTTATTTTTAATGTATTTTGGTAATACAATTTACATGTACAGTGTTACATTATATATGTATTGTGAACTTTAAAAGACTATTTTGCTAAATTTATAAATATATAAAATTATGTAAAAACTAGACTATATTTTGATTTAGATTTTCCTGTTTGCTGCCAAAAATTTTTATTTTAAATCTATTTAGTTTTAGTATGGTTTTGTCTCTAATGAATAAATAATTCCTTCTTATTAAGAAAAAGTAAGGGAGAAAGGTTTTAGAAAGTGATTTTTATGCTCCCACTATAAATACAGCAAATCAGTTCATTCTTTTGTTAAGTCAGTCTAATTTAACTGAGTTTATTGGAATTTATCTCCATTATCTCCATAATGGTGTGGGATGGCTGATTTAGGACAATTCCCTTTCCCATTGTTTTTGTTGCTGAGCCTGTTAGAGTTAGTTTTGCATCCAAGGGGGCTTTAAGAAACTTAGCATGCAGTGGAAGATCAGAATTCACTGAATATTTCTTTTGAGAGCATGGTTTTTCTCTGTGAAATGACTCAATATTCCAAATGTTTTTCTTTCCTTCCTCCTTTCAAAAGAGTTCTTTTTTTAAAATTTTTTATTGCATTTTAGGTTTTGGGGTACATGAGCTGAACATGCAAGACAGTTGCGTAGGTACACACATGGCAGTGTGTTTTGCTTCCTTTCTCCCCTTCACCCACATTTGGCATTTCTCCCCAGGCTATCCCTCCCCACCTCCCCCTCCCACTGGCCCTCCCCTTTTCCCCCCAATAGACCCCAGTGTTTAGTACTCCCCTCCCTGTGTCCATGTGTTCTCATTTTTCATCACCCACCTATGAGTGAGAATATGCGGTGTTTCATTTTCTGTTCTTGTGTCAGTTTGCTGAGGATGGCGTTCTCCAGATTCATCCATGTCCCTACAAACGACTCACACTCATCATTTCTGATTGCTGCATAATATTCCATGGTGTATATGTGCCACATTTTTCCAATCCAGTTTATTATCAGTGGGCATTTGGGTTGATTCCAGGTCTTTGCTATTGTAAACAGTGCTGCAATGAACATTTGTGTACATGTGTCCTTATAGTAGAATGATTTATAGTCCTTTGGATATATACCCAGTAATGGGATTGCTGGGTCAAATGGAATTTCTATTTCTAAGGCCTTGAGGAATTGCCACACTGTCTTCCACAATGGTTGAACTAATTTACACTCCCACCAACAGTGTAAAAATGTTCCTTTTTCTCCACATCCTCTCCAGCATCTGTTGTCTCCAGATTTTTTAATGATCGCCATTCTAACTGGCGTGAGATGGTATCTCAATGTGGTTTTGATTTGCATCTCTCTGATCACCAGTGACGATGAGCATTTTTTCATATGATTGTTGGCCTCATATATGTCTTCTTTCGTAAAGTGTCTGTTCATATCCTTTGCCCACTTTTGAATGGGCTTGTTTGTTTTTTCCTGTAAATCTGTTTGAGTTCTTTGTAAATTCTGGATATCAGCCCTTTGTCAGATGGGTCAACTGCAAACATTTTTTCCCATTCTGTTGGTTGCCGATTCACTCTAGTGACTGTTTCTTTTGCCGTGCAGAAGCTGTGGAGTTTCATTAGGTCCCATTTGTCTATTTTGGCTTTTGTTGCCAATGCTTTTGGTGTTTTGTTCATGAAGTCCTTGCCTACTCCTATGTCCTGGATAGTTTTGCCTAGATTTCCTTCTAGGATTTTTATGGTGCCAGGTCTTATGTTTAAGTCTTTAATCCATCTGGAGTTAATTTTAGTGTAAGGTGTCAGGAAGAGGTCCAGTTTCTGCTTTCTGCACATGGCTAGCCAGTCTTCCCAACACCATTTGTTAAACAGGGAATCCTTTCCCCATTTCAAAAGAGTTCTTAATCCAATTAGAATATCCTGCTTTGGGTATGAGGTTGTTGTGGCCTGTAATCACCCATGGTTTGACACCAATTTTAAGTCAATGGAGAGAAAAAACTGAAAGAGATGCTGCTAAGTAGTTCTCTATATTAAAGGAGATATTTTTAAAACAGGGTACAACCCGCTACTAGCATATCTGGAACCTAATATGAAAATGAAAGGACCCTTATAGGTACTCACAGCCCTTTCATGTAAGTATGATGTGATATATTTAGGTCTTCAGAAGCCTGTAGGTTTCATTTCTGTGAGGAATCGAGAAGCCTTAGGTCCTGATATCCTTCCAGGCTGCTTAAGGATGGACTGCTTTGACACTGAAAGTGCTAGTTAAACGGATTCATATGAAGTGCTTTACTCCCAACCATTGAGTTATTTATAATGTATTTATTGGGGGGTACCTTGAATCTATTATGTGTACTTCATCAAAACATCTTGTTCATGTTTTATGTTTTTAAAAAGGCATTTGAATGAATGTTTGACTCAGGTTTGTTAAATTAACCTTCAATAACTGCAGTACCAAAAATTATACCCAACTGCTGAAAGAAATGAATTGTATGATTTAAGAATCAAAAGCTAAAATAAGAATTATGTATCTTTTCTAAAGTTGAAAAAATAAAATATTTTATTATGTGTTATTATAAAAATTGGTTGATTGTATAGGAAGATGATAGTTTTTTTCAAGTTATCATAAAAAGTAATTCAGATGATATTTGAAAAGTAGGGGAAAGGGAACCATGTTGACAGTTTTAATTCTGTGAAAATACTAATTTGTGTGAAGCTATTAAAATGATTGTAAAGTTGACTACTGTAAATGTTCTATAATTATGTGTGTATATATGTCATATGTATGTACATGTGTATGTCTTAAATTACTTTACACATGTGCATACATAGATACACCAAGAAATGGATGTATATAATATAGAAAGTATATAGCAAAGTAATTTTACTCTGATAATAAAAATTGTTTGACATGTATTTTGTTATGAATAGTTTATCTTCCAAAAGATATTTTGGTCTATTTTAAAGTGTAGAAGAATACACTGCTAATAAAAAAAGTTTTATGCAATTAAAAAAAGAAGAATACTTATGAATTTCTCAACAGAAATCTTTTTGACCAGAAGAGACTGGGATGACATATCCAAAACGCTGAAAGAAAAGAAAAACTGACAATCATGAACAGGATACCCAGTAAAACTTTCCTTAAAAAATGAAGGAGAGATACTTCCCCAGACAAATCAAAACTGAGGGAATTTGTTACTACTAGGCCTGACTTACAAGAAGTGCTAAGGGAAAATTATCAAGTTGAAATGAAACTAAATGGCAACACAAAAACATGTGAAGGTACAAATCTCACTGGTAAATGAAAATAATATGGGGAAAAACAGAACAATGTAATATTGTAATGTTATAAACCACTTATCTAATATAAAAGTTAAAAGGGAGGGGTATAAAATACCTAATAGCTACAATAATTTGTTAATGAATACACAATGTAAAAAGATGTCAATGGTGACATCAATAGCATAAAATGTGGATGAGGGACACAGGTAGTTTTTGTACATGAATGAATGAAAGATGTCATCAGCTTAAAATGACTTTTATGTTTTATGCAAACTTTATGGTAACTATAAGGAAAAAAACCTCTAATAGATACAAAAAAGGGTAAAGAGGAAAGAATCAAAGCATACTACTATCAGAAAAAAATAACAAATTACACAGGAAGACATAAAAAAAGGAAGAAAAAAGATTTACAAAACAACCAAAAAAACAATGAACCAAATGGCAGTGGTAAGTTCTTACTTATCAATAATTACTTTAAGTGTAAATAGATTAAGTTATTCAATCAAAAGACACAGTGGCTGAATGGATGAAAAAATGATGCAACAATATTCTATCTAGAAGAGACTCACTTTAGCTTTAATGACACATATAGACTATATAAAGGGATAGAAAATATATTTTATGCAAATAGTAACCAAATGAGAGTAGGGGTGGCTATATTTATATTAGATTTTCAGTCAAAATTTGTCACAGGAGACAAAAATTGTTACTATATATTAATAAAAAAGCCAATTCATTGAGGGGATGTGATAATCTTAAATATGTGTTCACCAAATATTGGAACACTTACTTAAACATATGAATGATCATTGGGTCAAAAAAATGAAATCAAGATGGAATTTAAAAAATTATTTGAATGAATGACGATAGTGACACAACCTATCAAAATCTCTGGGACATAGCAAAGGCAGTTCCAAGAGGAAAGTTCATAGTCTTAAATGCCAACATAAAAAAATCTTAAAGAGCACTAACAATCTAAGGTCACACTTTAAGGAACTAGAGAAACAAGAACAAACCAAACCCAAACCCAGCAGAAGAAAGGAAATAACCAAGATCAGAGCAGAACTAAATGAAATGGAAACAAAAACATGCAAAAGATAAAAGAAACAAAAAAGTTAGTTCTTTGAAAAGATAAATAAATTTGATAGACCATTAGCAAGATTAACCAAGAAAAGAAGAGAGAAAATCCAAATAAGCTCAATAAGAAACTAAATGAGAGATACTGCAATTGACACCACAGAAATAAAAAAGATTATTCAAGGCTACTATGAATACCTTTATGTACTTAAACTAGAAAACCTAGAAGAGATGGATAAGTTCCTGGAAATATACCACCCTCCTAGTTTAAATCAGGAAGAATTAGATATCTTGAACAAACCAATAACAAGCAGCAGGATTGAAATGGTAATTTAAAAAATTACCAGCGGGCCAGGCACATGCCTGTAATTCCAGCACTTTGGTAGGCTGAGGCAGGCAGATCACCTGAGGTCAAGGGGCTTGAGACCAGCCTGGACAACATGGTAAAACCCTGTCTCTACTAAAAATACAAAAATTAGCCAGGCATGGCGGCAGGTGCCTGTAATCCCAGCTATTCAGAAGCTGAGAGAGGAGAATCACTTGAACCCGGGAGGCAAAGGTTGCAGTGAGCTGAGATCAGGCCACTGCACTCCAACCTGGGCAACAAAGAGCAAAACTCCATCTCAAAAACAAAAAACAAAACAGAACAAAAAAACAAAAATTACCAACAACAAAAAAATTCAGATGGATTCACAGCAGAATTCTACCAAACATTCAAAGAAGAATTGGTACCAATTCTGTTGACACTATTTCACAAGATAAAGAGGGAACCCTCCATAAATCATTCTATGAAGCCAGTATCACCCTAGTACCAAAACCAGGAAAGGACATAACCAAAAAGAAAACTACAGACAAAAATTTCTAATGAACATAGATGTTAAATCTTTAACACAGTTCTAGCTAATGAAATCCAACAATATATCAAAAAGATAATTCACCATAATCAAATGGGTTCATATCAAGAATTCAGGGATGGTATAACATACGCAAGTCAATAAATGTGATGCACCACATAAACATAACTAAAAAGAAAAAACACATGATCATCTCAATAGATGCAGAAAAAGCATTTGACAAAATCCAGCATCTCTTTATGATTAAAACTCTCAGCAAAATTGGCATACAAGAGGCATATAATAAAAACCATTTATGACAAATCCACAGCCAACATAACACTGAATGGAGAAAGTTAAAAGCATTCCCTCTTTCTATAATATAAACACCAATAAAGCTATCCTCACAGTAAATGTTTAAGTATATAATTCAGTATTATTTACTGTAAGCATGTACATACAGTACATAGGGCATATACAGTGGATAACTGAAACTTTGTACACTTTTACCTCCCTGTTTTTCCCACCCTCCCTCACTCACCTAGCCTTTGGCAACCACCATTGTACTCTCCGTTTCTTCTTTTTTTTCTCTTTCTCTTTCCTTCTGTTCTTTTAAATAGGGACGAGATCTCACTATGTTGCCCAGGCCGGTCTCAAAAAATCCTCTTGCCTTGGCCTCCCATGCTAGAATTACAGGCATGAGCCACAATGCCTGGCCTGTACTTTCAGTTTCTATGAGTCTACCTTATCCTTATACACATGGTAGTATGCAGTATTTGTCCTTCTGTGTCTCGCTTATCTCATTTATCATAATGTCCTCAAGATTCATACACGTTGTTACAAATGGTAGGATCTGCTTTTCTATGGCTGAATAATGTTCCATTATATTTATATATCACATTTTTTTGTCTGTTTATCTGTTGATTGATAGACATTGAGGTTGCATCAGTGTTTTAGCTATTGTGAATACACTGCAGTGAACATTGGAGTACAGATATTGCTTCAAGATTCTGATTTCAATCCCTTTAGGTGAGAGGAAACTTTTGGAAGAATGGATTTGTTGTGGCTTAGATTGTGATCTTAGTTTCATGAGTCTATTCTTACCTCCAAATTTATTAAGTTGCATATCTTAAACATGTACAGCTTTACATATGTCAATTATACCCCAGTCTTTTTTTTTTAAATGAAGTTACTTGCTTAGTTGGGTCAAAAAATATGTGTCTCCATTTGGTAACAATTACTAATGTGAACTGCCCTAAAGAAAGATACAATGCAGCAACATTCTGTTCTTATCTTTGTTCTCATATGAAAAAACTCATGATGTGGTTAATGCAAGCACACGTCTAGTAGCCTCTTAACAAAAAGCATAGTAGTGCTTTGTAAATGTCTGTCAGATGGGCTTGTTGGTTACTCATGTTATGTTAAAACATCATTTCATCCCTTGCACTTCTTGAAACTGACTCTTGAAACTTTCCATTCTGACTTTCACTGCCCTATTTCAGATTCTCATCATCTCTCACATAGATTAATGCAACAACTCTCTCTGTTCTCTGTCTACATCTGAGTGCTGTCTGAGTGATGGGTCTGTGGTGCAAACTGATCTGTCACGCCCCTGTACAACACAGTACTCCAGCAACTGCCATCAAAGTTTTCCAGTAACTCCCCATCAGTCTTAGAATGAAGTTTGTGTTCCTTAACAAAGCTAAAGAGAACACATGGACACAGGGAGGGGAGCACTACACACTGGGGTCTGTTGGCAGGAATAGGGGAGGGACAGCGGGGAGTGGGGAGTTGGGGAGAGAAAGCATGGGGAGAAATGACAGATATAGGTGAAGGGGAGGAAGGCAGCAAATCACACTGCTATGTGTGTACCTATGCAACTCTCTTGCATGTTCTTCACATGTACCCCCAAACCTAAAATGCAATAAAAAAAGAAAACAAGCTATATAAAGAAGAGAAAACAATCTTCAAGGGGCAGGGGGACTATAACAAATTAATTTATTGTAATAAATTAATTAGTCTTGTTTAGAAAATTTTATAATCCTGTTAAATGTGTTTGTGTTCTTCCTATATATGCAAGACATTAACTTTCAACTTTGGAGAACTGACCCTGTTTCTCTGGAGTTATATATCCCAGAATCCTCATTCCTAGCTTTTCACTTGAATAAACTCTTTAAAAACTGGAAAAAAAAAAAAAAAAAAGAGCCCTCCAAGGACTGGCTCTGCCCTGTTTCCAGCCTCATCTCCTCCTGCAGCCCTCCTCATGCTCTCCTCCGTGGCTTCATCACGTTTCTTGCAACTCTCCACACTCACCGATTATGTTGGTGTTTGCTCTGTGATTTGCTCTGTTGACTGTTTTCCCTGAATACCTTCCCAGGTCCTCTGCCAGCTCTTTCTTTCACTCTGACTTATTCATCATATCATTTCCAACGTAGCTCTGGCTTCAGCTACTACAGGAGTCCAGGCTGGGTTTGGCACCTTATCTCTAAATTTCCTAAGCACCCTCTATCATAGCACTTGCCACTTTAAAATAATTTCTTCAGGCCTGTTTCCTCCACCTTTCTGTCATGAGTGCTTTTCACTTAAAAAAATACATGCACTAATGTGTGGAACAGCAGTGTAGTGCAATGGTGAGAGCACCAATCTAGGGGTCAGAAGTGTGGAGTCTTAATCCTGAGTACCAGTTATGTGTCTTTAGGTAGCATTTTAGAGTTGTGATAAACA